AGGAGAACCCGCTCGACCGTTTTCCCAAACATCGGCAGAGCTCCGTGCAAGCTCGCGGCCCCAAAACCTTCGGACTGCAAGTGCTGTTTATTCGCACGTACGCCGCTGCGGACGGATGTCACAACCCTGGCGGCAACCAACAAAAAACACGTCCATTCATAGCCACGTACTACAGCGAGTGTATTTGTTACCGGCACGCTCTTGAATTAATGTGACATCGAGACAAGAGATGTTGTGCGGAAATGGGGGTTCGCCTGCATATAATTATTATGGGCGGTAGCCGCCAGAAGGAAGGCCAACTCTAGGAGGATCATCAGAAGTAACAGGGTGGATTTTGGGGGGGGGGGTAAAAGTGCGGGCAGGCAAGCAGGTGGCTACGGTGTGACGGTAGGGTTGGGTATTGCAGAAGAAGGCAGTTTGGGGAGTTATCGTGAGATGCAGCGCTGCCGCATGGAGATGCGCAACACGGAGATGCGGCCGACGAGGTGGCACCCACAACTGGCATGGCAGTGAGGCACCCACCAAAGCACCAGAGCACAAGCATCCAAGCACCCACTGGGCCAGGGCAAGCCGCACGGGGGGAGGGGTGGAAGAGGTGTGGATAACGCGTGCGTGATACAGGGTTTGAGGGGGTGAAGCTGTGAACTGTGGATGGGTGGGCCATGGGTTGTGGTTGCGGGTGCGGGTGCAGATGCAGAATGTTCCATTGGAAGACGTGACGGGTTTCTTAGCTTTGAGGGCGGCTGCTGAGGAGCGAGGCACGGCAAGGGTTTAGCGAAAGAGGGGTGTGTGCGTGAGAGGAAAATAACTAGGTAACAGAGAGAGAGAGAGAGAGAGAGAGAGAGAGAGAGAAACAGGAGAGACAGAGGAGGGAACCTGAGTAAAAGGGGGGTCGAGGCACGAAATGGAAGTATCCGTGCCGTACTTACTTGCGTACAGTATACGGAGTAGCACGGAGTAGTATACAGGACGAGAGGCGTGTGGGTGTGATGACTGTGAGTGAGAGGGTTGTGTCCGTGGTGGATCGTCTGGTCTGGTATCCGCAGAGCAAAGATGGAAACGAGGGAGAGTTTGACGACGTCTGAGAACCGGGAGAACCTGCGTCAACCTTGCTAACTTATTAACGGCCTAGCGCCTGCGCGTGTGCTTGAAGCCTCCCTGTTCTCTCCTACATACCTTCCTAACTTCCTTGAGGAGGGTTATCTGTACAGTAATGTAGATGGTAACGCAGTTTTCGTATATACGAGTGGTAAAAGGTGGTAAACCCGCACCAGAATACAGATAGGTTCCTGTCAGAGTAAACATTAATTGCCGCTTCGGGATATGACAATTCTTGGGTGGGCCAAGGTGAGAAGACGACATCTCACCTAGGTGATCTCAGCTCGTAGCCACACCGTATGGGTAGTTGTAGCCGCTCATCGAAGATACCTTGACCAACATAAACCGCCCGGAAAGGACACTTTCCTCTCATCTCATAGTTGGGGCGCGGCGCGGAAATAATGAGTGATGAAGCCCCCCGCAGGCAATAAGGTTGGGAGGGCGACCAAGCATGTTGCGTTCTTCGTCCATCCACCCGCCGTGTCACACACACCAAGGATCATGGCCCTTGGCCTGTGCTGTGGCCCATCCTATCGTGCCATCCTACTCTTTACCATCCATGGAAGCTGCCGAAACGTTCCATACCCGTCGGGCTCGCTAGCCTTTAGATGTTGTCGGGTTCTAACTTCTCCTGACATGTACATACGAGAGGAAGAGGATGCCGAAGATGAGAAAAGGCAAAGACTTATTCCATCGGTATAGACCCACGTACAATTGGCAGGACCTTCAGCGACCCCCCCCCCCCCCCCCGCGTCTCGGCATCGCCAACACAATGTCATGGAGGCACTCCCGTTGTCGCATGCATGCGCCATGCAATGCCATTATTAGCGCGATTACGGTGGTACCAGGCATTCATGAGCGCACACTACTGTGCAGTCCACACACAAAAACTCTGGGGGACTTTGTTGGAGCTGTGGTGGTAGCACAGGTCTTGCCCCATTCCACACCCTCTCTTGACGATGATTTCTTTTTTCGCTTCGATTTCATTCCTTCTTCCTCTCTTGTACATATTCTGCTTATTGCTAGTACGCGCGCAAAACCACCCTATCGACAGGAATATGACCAGATTGATCAAAGTGCAACACACTATCCGTAGACATTGTCAGCGACCATATCAGGCCACACCACAAAGCTGCGGAAGCTGACAACAGCGGCTTGGGTCTGCAGATGAAGACGCCTCTTATTATGTCGCCGTGTCTAAAAGTTATGAACAGACAGAAGACACACGGTGGATCTCGATGAGCTGGAGGGAGGGGGATTTGTTTTCGAGCAACTCAATACTGTGTCTTCTTGACTACCATATCAATCGGCAGACCAAACGAAGCAGGCACAACAGGCTGCCTTAAGTTCCTGGCTACTTTGGCATGGTTGGAACCAGTCACCCTATTTCGTAAATCTGCATCAATCTTTTAAATCCCCGGTTGACATGCCACGACTACAATGTGTTCCGGACAGGTCCATTAGCTGTCGGCGGGTGTGCACTCTCTTTCGGAGTGAAGATCCAGACCGCTCAGGAGAGTGGCTGAGGCAAGAGGGTCAACAAGGGGTGCGAAGCGCGGTTGGCGATGGCCGCATAATGAGGTGCCCCCCAACATCAGCTGGCGGTCCCGGGACAAACAAGGCGGCGGTTCTGGGTGCCTTAGCGTTGGGGTTTGAATATCGGAAGGGTAAGGTGAGTTCGGGTAGAATTAGAAAGCCCAAGCCGATTGAGCGGAGAAGGTACCTGGCTGAGGTAAGCAGCTCTGATGGGTCCGTGGTGAGACTCGGTCAAGACGGTTCACCGAGCGATGAACCTTCCAGACGGGCCTGTAGTACCGCTGGCCGTCCTGAATCTTCTCCTGTTGGCGTATTTCCATTTACCACAGCATAAGCGGTCTAACAATTATACGCCAGGCATTCCGTTCGCTCATCAGGATATAGAGATCGACGAAAAGTTAATTGTTCCCTCGACGCTTCACTGTATCAAGGCTGAGAGGAAAGCACTGCTGATATACTTCCAGTTGGAGGCTCATCGAGCTGACTTTCGACAGGATAGACATAGAGTACGACCCCAGTCACTCCGCCGAAGCGCCGGTGCTCAATGGCCCACCTTCGACAGACACGCTTCGGTGTACCGTTCAACCGTCATTTTGCAGACGTTCGAGACACTCTTCGTGACCGTAGTGTACCATTCGCAGCAAGGGTGCGATGATCGGGACCCGCGTAAGAGTGACCTTACAACAAGCTGTTCCCCGTGCCAACATCCAATGTCTACTAGACCAGCTTTGAGAGCTTATCGCATCATCGAAAACTCTTCTGTACTGCAACACACTCAAAAGAAACCTTCGCAGTCTTGCGCTCTGTTCGGATCCCGAGAAAGCGGCACCAACGATCTGCTCCGAGCGCGTCGTCAATTCCTTTATCAACACTGGCATCGCTTTCATCACGCCTGCCAGCGCTTTCGCAATTGTCAGGCATGCCCGCTTGATCCAGCCTAGAATATGATGGATGGATCTACATATTTCGGGAGACCCTGCTGCCGATGACACAAAATTACACCAGGCTAGCTGGGCCCCGAAATCACTAATTGGCAATGTCGATGATGCAGAATTACCCTACAACGGCATTCAGATTGATAGGCTGGGTTTCGCCACTACTACCTCACATGCACCAAGGAATGGACCCTCAGTAGCTTCTAGGTATGCTGCACTGGTTGGCTGTCTTTGCATGTGAAACAAACAGATGGCACACGCATAGAGATGGCACTAACCAACCTGCCAAAGCATCCAGATCTTGAGGCGCAAGTATCATCAAATCAGACCACCGCCCCAACCACAGCGGCGGGACATTAGTAGATGACTTGACAGGAAACCGAATACGAGTCGGCTGCTTCTGATTCGCCAATGGATTGTTGCGCCAGTGGGCTCCCTGGCCTTTCCACCTAATTTGAGCCAAAAGTCCAACGTCAAAAACTGGTCAACGCGGGTCCTGGAAAAGCCCATCCCGCTGGATCATGCGATTTTCCAAGTGACGAACTGCCCACTGGGACATTACCTCGGACGAGTCTTCATGGGCACAATGGGCTTGCGTACACCGACTCTTCCGAGTTTCGCAGTTGCCCACTCTTGACTGGAGATGAGTTAGATACAGTTAAAAGAAGGGCTCATCCCGCCCAGGGATATCTGCTACCCCTTCGTCGAGAGCTCGTTCGGCCTTGAGTTACAGCAACCCTTGCCATCTTGACGCCGTTTTTGTGTTCGATTGTCATCTCGGCTGGGCCTTACCCCCAAACCCTAAGATCGGGTACGTGCCAGTGTTGAGGGACCTCGATAGAAGCGTTGACAACCTTGACAGCTTAAACCTTAGTGTGCTGGTCCCCTTTTTCTCTGAGCTTCGCCGTTCGACCAACATCCGCCATCTTCAGAGTATAAGCCGTTGGCTGTCGATGTTGGCTCAGTCTCTCGGTGCCGGCACTTTGTCATTCGACCGCCGGCCTTGCAAACGTCGGAGAAGCCCAGGTTGCAGTCTGCTACAAACTTCACAGCAATATCCTTGCCCAAGTCTTCTAGTGGAAGCTCTTACCGAACTGAAAGCAGTCGCTGCCGATCCCGCCCCTGGCTGTGTCCCCGTCGCTCGGAAGCCAGGCCCATTAAACCGGAGGTAAGGCGCATCTGCCCACCTTCTTATGGCCCCAGGATTTCTATTAAACATTCGATGATCTCAGACCCCACCGAGTTATCCCGGCCGCGACCCTCGGCAACTTTGCGACCTCGATTCGTCTAGGACTTATAACCTGGATTCGTGCTGGTCCGTTGCGCATACGTGACTACCGGTCCTTCTCTCCTCAACTGCGATCGTTACTTTAGATATTGCCGCAGTAACCCTAGTGGCCATCCACCGATTGCTCTTCGATTCGACACATCATGGATGTCGTGCTCGAGGTGGTTGACACCTTTGTTGGCGACCAGCTCTACGCCAAATTGCTCCCAGCCGGTTCAGCTCCTTATGACTTCCCTCACCACGCGAACGCCACGGCGCAACCGATCTCGACATGGCAGTATAAGCCCTCGACACAAATGCTCTACCTCGAGCCTTCCGAGGCCGCATATATGAGCGCCTGGCCAAGAGATAATATCTTCCGACAGTTCACATCTCTTTTCCTTGTCACATGGTACGTTGTTGCTACAGCTCCGCCACCCTCGCCGTGTTCCCGACCGAGCTCACAATACCGCGCACAATACCAGGTTCTTCGGCATCCTCAACTACTTTGTCTTCGCGACTCTATCGTACATCTTCATCTTTGACAAGAAGACGTTCAGCCACCCAAAGTTCCTCAAGAATCAGATCCGCCTCGAGATGAAACAGGCCAACATGGCCATGCCGGTCATGGCAATCTGCACCGCGCTCACCTTTGTCGCCGAAGTGCGCGGCTACTGCAAGCTCTACGATACCACAGAGGAGGGCCCCGGCCGTTGGTACAACTATGCGCAGTTCCCGCTCTTCATCCTCTTCACCGACCTGTGCATATACTGGGCTCATCGATGGCTACATCTCCCACTCGTCTACAAGCACCTTCACAAGCCTCACCACAAGTGGATCATGCCCTCGCCCTACGCCAGCCACGCCTTCCACCCCCTCGACGGCTTCGCGCAGTCGGTCCCGTACCACGTCTACCCGATGCTGTTCCCTCTCAACAAGCTGGCATACGTCGCACTGTTTGTGTTTATCAACTTTTGGACCATTCTTATACACGACGGCGAGTACATTACCGACAACCCCATCATCAACGGCTCAGCGTGCCACACCGCCCACCACTTGTACTTCAAGTAAGTTTCTGACAACGTGAGAGAGCCGAGAGCTTCGCACTTTCTAACAGACTTGGCAGCTACAACTACGGCCAGTTCACTACCCTCTGGGACCGTCTCGGTGGCACCTACCGCAAGCCCGACCTAGCCTGGTTCAACAAGAAGACCAAGATGGCCAAGGAGACGTGGGAGTCCAACATGAAGGAGATGGAAGACATCCAAAAGGAGGTTGAGGGCGACGACGACCGCCAGTACGTTGCCGCCGAGGCGAAGAAGACGAAATGAGAGCCAGTCTAAAGTGTGCTGGACACGCTCAGCGCAAAAAGCCAGCCGTAAGTGAACAGCTGAAGAAATCACTTTCTAGATATTTGTAATACTTTGGCTCTTGCCATACCTTTGCTTGTATATATATATGAATCGGCTAAATAGAATGCCGGGCGCGATACGGATGGATGATGGTGATATAATGGGAGCGAAGCCATCTGACGGTCTGCAGGTATGGATGGACCCAGGGTATCATAGCTAGTAGCGCAACTGGACCCTCCTGAGGTTCCAGAATGCCAACTCCAGAATGACATGAGGTTTGAAGAACACACTGGCAAATGTCGAGGAGAAGAAGGACTCAAGTGTCACATCTACCGGACTACCGGAAGCCCGTGCAGTCTCGTAGGATGGACAGGGCGAAAAGTTGGGTCACATAGTCAAAAAGAGGATGAATACGTGAAGGTAACAAGAGTGAAAATCCGTTGAAGCTGTATCACGCAAGCTCTACATTGACAGATAATACCAAAAGAAGACGCCGATCCATACCGGCGCAAAGAAGGCTTTGTCAGCCAGACCCTTAGAAACGTCCACCACCGGGAAACCCAAGAACAAACAACATAGAAAAAGAAAGAGAAGGGTAAGAAAAGCTCGCTGCAACGCCTGTTTGCCCTAGGAAGTAGTGGAATGTCGAAGAGTTGATAAGCAAGGAAAAGTAGTCGGTGGCCTGTTTGGGCGCGTTAGAAGGATTTGTGGTTGTTGGAGGCGAAAGCTCGGGAATATTGAGTTATGCTCCGGTGCAAAGTGATCAGAAATGATCCTTTACGGTCATTTCCCTCCTCTCGAATGAGATATAATGGTGGAGTCGTCGGTAATTCGTATCGTAGTGCAAACATATGCTGCAAACGACGTTTTTCGCCTACCCGGTCTGTATCGGGTATCCCCTGGTTGCCTCTCTCTCTCTCTCTCGGTAGCTCGTGCATGCCTCGCCTAGCTGAACGTGACAGCCTTGGGATCCAAAGGCCTCCCATCCGGTCCGATACCGTTGGCCTTGAAGCGCTGCTCCATGTACACCCTGCGCGCGTCGTCAAACTTCATGCGGCGCTTCTTCATGATCTTGAGAATCTCCTTCTTGCTGCGATCGTCGAGCCCTGCGCGGCTATCGCCTGATTCAACGTTGCCCGCCAAGTCAAAGGTCGAGCTCGAGAGGCCGGCGTCGATGTCGCCGACGAAGGAGGAGGGCAGACGGGAGTAGATGTAGTCGCGGCCGGGGATCGGGAGGTCGGGAACGAGGTGGAGCCAGTGGCCGCGGGTGAAGTAGAGGGCCGTTGCGGTGATGAGGAGGAGGAACGAGACGGAGTAGAGGAGGTACGACATTTTGGACGACTTTCGCTTTCGAGGGCGCGGTCGAGATGGAATTTCGTTGGGCTGGTCGTCGATACGCTGGTGTGGTTGCTTCGCAATCGCCGGCTGCTTAGGTGGCTAGGCTCCGAAAAGCTAGTAGTGGTGGTAATCGTCGTGGTTTGGAATGAACAGAACGGAAGGCAAGGGAAATGAATAGTGTGGAAAAAAGAAGTCACAAAGAGAATGGTGTTTTGGCGCAAACGGTCAGAGACTGCCGTTCGAAAGGATCAAAGGATCATGTCGGCACCTGCAGGGAGACAGACGGTCGCGTTTGACTCCAGGGCAGAGTGAGGTTATGCGGAATGGAAGTGTAAGTGGTGAAGTTCGGCGACGAGCCAGGCGTACCGACCGACGTACGATGATGTGGAGGTGCAGTGGTGCGGGCTGCGTAAGTGCGCTGGACACTAATACTACCCAGGCTCCCCAGTTGGCCTCTTTCGGAAATGGGAGAGAGCCCTCAGGGACTCAGCGTCGCTGAAGGTGGACTCGGGCTGTCACTGCCCCCCGTAATCCCGTCTGATCCTGCAGCTTTTGGACTTCCATGGGGATCCACTTACTAAGGTCGGGCATGGAGCATTCGAAGGCGTACTACCTACGTACGTAACTTGTAAGGCTTGGGCGCAGGGCAAGCGCAGGGTACCGTGGCAGGGGCCTGGGCCGCCAGGGAGACCGTTACGGATGCCGACGGGCAAGCTTCCATTTGCATCACGTGAATACTTCCGCCCCCGCCAGCTGGGCCACGGGACGTGCTGAAGCTACCATGTATCCGTACCTTCCACGACGAACAAAGCTGGAGACCAGTAAATGATCTCAGGGCCGACTCAGGGCCGATTCAGTCCTTACATTGCGTTCCTGGTCTTCATTGTATGTGACTATGTCGAGGTCGGTGAAGACTCTACATGAGTTACTTCAACTACCTTATCTGTGGACATGCTCTTAATACCACTCTTCGTGGTTGAGGCCACGCAACCAGGAGGTGAAAGGCAATTTCCATGACACGCGTAACTAAGGCTTCTGCATAAGAGAGCCCCAAGAGGTACCCCAAAGCTCGGCCCCTGGAAACTTGATTATCCCGGTAGCTGGGGCTCACCGGCGCTCGCAACTTGGATACCTTCGTCCGGCCTGAGAAAGGTGGCAGCCTCCGATGAAGGTTTGCTCTTGAAGAGTGAATGTACTTCAGCTTCGGCGCCTATATAGTAAATGTCCATACTTTTTTTTGTAGAAAGTGTTGCCTAAATGTCCAATGATAGAGTAGCTGTATCTATATCACACAGTATTCCATCGCTTGTCTCAACCTGAATGGTGTGTGGGTGTTGGGGGGGGGGGGGGGGGCTCCCAAAAGCAACAGAGCTATTCTGACATACCGCCTGTGAAATAATTCGAGTTCTAGAGATAGCCGGTTGGTTTCGAACATATAGGTGTAATCAGCAGTTGGACTATATATGTCATGGTCACGATGTGGAACCGATATTATGTCGAAACGGTAGCTTGCTGGGATAACATGACGATTACATACCCGCAGACGAGAGGTGTTGCCATAAGATCATTTCCCATATAGATAGACCCTGCCTCTAGATAGAAAATCAATGGTGTGAATAATATAACTTCATAGTCCCGCAGTAGAGCGATACTGTGTATTTAAGAGTGAACAGCCCCTTAAAGGTGCCCATGAGGCAACCCGCTTTGTCACCGTTATCCTTCTGGATGGCTCACGAACGAGAATATCGTCGACTAACATGATGAGATGATGTAACAATATGGAATAAGTTCTGAAAGAAGACTGCGATCCAGGTGAGAGCCACAGACCGGCGACTTTTACCTGCTTGGCATTGTGCACGTATACAAAGACGAATCATTCTGTCGAGCCAGATGGTGAAGTGAGCTAGAGTGCCTACCTTGGCAGTGCCTCTCACAGACGAATTCGACTGCCTTGCAGTGGAGGATCGACAATGGATATGCAGTGCCTTAAATACCTTAGGATTGGCAAAGTTGGCCTCTTTGTCAACGTACTATACCCGTTGTAATGAAGTACTACACAAGAGACTGGATAAATGCGCCCATACAAGACGAATGGGTTTTTTTATGAGAGGATAAGATACTATGGCCTGGCGTTGGGATGTGCCTACCGGATATGTAGGCTGGACCCGATGGCATGACATCGAGCCGAATGATGGATTTGTATGAATCACTTGAACGGTAACCATTAGCTACACTCAGTACTAAAGCATTGATAGTCAGCGAAGATTCTCCGGAGAGATGCCTAAACTTTAGGCACTTCAACACCATGGAGTGTGTCGTTCCTAGATGTGTGGTTCACCTTTGTGCCTCGGATTAAATACCATGAATATTTCGCCCGTTGAATAGACCGATCTAGGCCCTAATTCAAACATGCTATCAATTGGGAAATCAGAACATACTAGAAATAGTATAGAAAAGAAGGCCAAGCATTACAGGCCTTATCCAAGAACCGCGCTTTATGATATATTGTCTTGCTATTATCTTGCAACTGTCAAGTTTTTGAGCTTAGCCACATATGTTGAAAGAGACGCAATACTCGACTTTCTGAATCCTGAACCGACCAAAAAAGAGCTTGAGCCTACCGCGTACTAGTACATTTGATAAGTGAGTTCGTGTAGTTGGAAATACGTAATCGCAATTGCGGTCGACTTATGACGAGGACGAGGTTGTACTTCGAGCCGGTTCAGGATGCAAGTGCACCGCCATCACCAGCCACATCCAGACTGGCCCGCCGGGGAGGGCTTTTGTGCCCCGGAGGGGACTCGGTGTGGCGTCGCCGATGAAATGAGTGGACCCAAGAGACGCTAGTCCGCAAAGCGACTGCTAAGCGATAGCCCACACATTCAATTCAGGCCATTGAATTCTACGAACACGCAGACCGGCATCAGAGCAATCGTGAAGGTATTCATCAACCATTCCGTGATCCCTCAAATCAGTCAAAATGGCCGCCACTCTGCCCAACGTTTCCGCCGACCTGATCTGGGAGGTCGTCCGTAAGTTTCACCGCGGCGCCCGGCTGCCAGCGATGCCGAACTCGATCTGAATGCGCAATTTTGCTCACACCTGCTTGTTTTCTCGATACAGGCGCCCAGAATGCGTTCCTGGTCAACCGCAACGACGCCGGCGGTCTCCAGCTCTCCCGCGACCCCCTTAACCTGGTCAACAAGCACTCCCGCAAGGTATGTTGGGATCGAATCGTCAGAATACTGGCGGGGTTGAAGGGCATCTTTCGCTAACTTGTATCGCAGTACGCCGGTTTCGTCAACGACAAGGTACGATTACACCCCAGGCCGATCGAACTCGATATTCCTCCCTCGCTCGAACGATTCGATCCTTCGCAACATCACGTAGCACAGAGATGACTGACATGTGACGATTAGGCCATCGGCGTTGTCCCCAACGAGAAGGGTGGTGTCAAGGTGATCAGCAAGAACCAGAAGAACTTCAACAAGCCCTCCAAGGGCTACACCGAGGTCACCTACGGCGGCAACAAGTCTTCCCGCAAGTGAGTTTTGGACCACCGCTACAACCACAAACTTGTTGTCGTAATGCGGCACATGGAACGGGGCAAGCACGAGGATTTAGGAGAACAAACAGATGACTGACGGCTGTCGAACCATAGGACCTACTCCGCCGTTGCCCGCCAGGCTGCCGCCGGCGGCTACCGTGGCGACCTCCGCGAGGCCGCTGTCCAGCGCGTCTCTGCCATCCGCCGCTCCCAGCGCGCCGTCAAGGCTACCCCCGAGAAGAAGCCCCGCGGTGTCAAGGCCAAGGCCGCCGCCGCTGCCGAGGCTGAGGCATAAATGTTGAGATGCTGATTTAGCGGGACGAAAAAAGAGAAAGAAACAGGCTTGGTTTGGGCGTTACGTCGAGCAAATAGAGAATACCTTTTTGAGGGACACAGGCGAAACAAATCAAAAGCTTGAGTCAAAGGCCACAAAATAATGACTGGGACTGGTTTTTCGTTTGCTCCAAACGAGTGCTGCTGCTTCCCCCCTTCGCATCTGATGCCATGCGTGTGAGGTATTTGTGAGGCTCTGGGCCAACGACTTGGGAGGGCGATGATGATGATGCATGTTGAAGTATACCTTATCTTATGCCATGACGCGCGCCTGCACAGAAAGGGAAAGCTCGGAGTGGGAGTGGAGTGAGGGTGATCGAAGAGGCCGACATCGAGATAGCACAGTAGCCGGACTACGGGTCTTGGTGTTGTCGATGCCGTGGTCCTCGGCCCTTACCCGGAGTTGCCCGACTAGAGTAGAGAGCGAATTCCTGCTGAACCTCGGGACCACGGGCAAGCATCGGAATGTCGAGGGTGTCATTCCGGCTTGAGCCATACCATCTTCCTACGTTGCCCCCCAAAAGTATTGTGTAGTGGAGCGGTATATTGATTGCAGTTTGTTGTTGGAGTGTTGATGAATGAGGAAAGACAGGGACGCTTCTACGTCTTGCACGGAGTAAGTCTTCGCCGACATTGACCTGATCGAGATACGTGGAATGGCACCTGCGCATACGGATACATGGCGGGGTAATTTTGCCAGCCGGGGTTGCATAGGTGCTCCTAACATGGCATTTCTAACACAACGGTACGTACTCTTGATATTGTGAGTAATTCGTGCCACAGTGTAGGTAATTCTTACATCTTCCATGAGCAAGATCTTAACCTCGTAGAAGCAACGAGGAGTGAAGATGTATTTTTAGTGAGCTATTCGCCCGCCCAAACACCACAGACAGGGCCCGTAGGTTATGTTTTGCCCAGCTGTCTCATCGCCGAGGATAATGATAGCTATCACGATCTGAAGCATGTCACAGGCTTCCCATAGGAATAATGGGGCCCGTCTTTGCGTTAGGTTCTTGTTTCTACCGTTCCCACACCCGAGTTTTGGCTATACATAGGAACGAGCTACCCCTGGAGCTCGGGACATCGGGACATCGGGACGAGGACGGGGGACCGTTCATCAGCAGGAAAACATCGGAAGGCATTGGTCCAGCTGGCCGGGAGTTGACGGGGGAGATCGAGCCTCGAATTACCGTCTTAGCCTCGTCCGTCTCTCACATGCATCAGACCGGAGGTGAATGGCGAACAAAACGGGTTGACGACGGATGTTGCAATTGGTTGCAGGACGTTGGTGGCAGGGGATTGGCGCAATCGATGCTAGGTATTGAGCAAGCACTGGGCAGTGGGCGGGAAACATCCAGAGCACCTAAGGTAGGTACCTGTAGAATGTATCTTTATCTTTCCTTCAGCGACTGCTTCCATGGGCTGGGCGTGTCTCAGTGGCCGCCTTTGTTTGGGTCGAATGACGAGGTATCTGCGACAGCTATTCCCTGGTGCGGCAAGCCGGAAGGTACCTTACACTCGCTCCTCTCTTTGTCCACTCTGCAGCCCGAGACAGCGGCAGCAGCAGCATCAGCAGGGCCAGCGAGCAAGCAGCAACGCAGCAACTGGTCCGGCTAATAAAGCACCGCAACCGCGCAAGTATAAGCTACAGGATCGGGCTTGCTGGGTGCAGCGGCGCAGTACATGAGGTACAATGCCGCAAGGTAACTACACGCGCAGTGCTGCTGTCGAGTCACTTTTCTGCGCATTACTGGCGCCTGCCGCCGCTACCACCTCACCTCGAGGAGCGATGGAGGAGCGTGCAATAGCTACAATGGAAACTTGAACCCCCCGTGCCTGCCCTGCCTCAGGAGCGGCCCCCCCATGGTCCCCTTCTCACCCCTCCAAGTTGCCCCTCTTTTTGACCCCTCCATCCAATGACACAGGCAAAGTCCCACGGAACGAGGGGTGGGAAACCAAAGGTCGCAATTCTCCCCGCGGTTGAACCTACGTCCCCGCCGACAGCCTCCGGACTAGGTATCAGCTGGCTCAGACTACTTCTACGTAACCTTGGCTCGGTTTACTTCTCCTCTCTTGCTCTCCCTTTTCATACTAAAGCAAACGATCTCCCGCTCTTGTGAGATTCATCTTCATACATCTTCCATCTTACCAGTAAAACCTTCAGTTTACGTGACTACTGTACGTTTGACGATGACCTCTCTCTCCCCCTCCCCTTAGTACTTGACAAGCGTGGATAATTGTAGCGAGAGCTCCCCACACTTGGCCTCGTACCATGCGCCAGAGCTCGACATGTTAAGCGAGCAAAGCTCCAAGATCACCCCGCTAATCCGCGAGAACCCTTCAGGCCACCCTCCTCCTTCATCCATCTCCTTTCTCAAACCGAATAACAAGAATCACAATCAAAATGGTCAAGGCCGGTATGTTCCCACCACCTGAGACTATCGCGCAAAGCCTCGTCAATCTAATCATTTCTTAGTTGTTGCTGGCGCCTCCGGCGGTATTGGACAGGTACAGTGAATCCGGAACCCCGCGTGGTCAGCAAATAACGCTCGCATTGCTCACCACCAACCTGTCTACTCTAGCCTCTGTCCCTCCTCCTCAAGCTCTCTCCCCTCGTCGATGAGCTTGCCTTGTACGATGTCGTCAACACCCCCGGCGTCGCCACCGATCTCTCCCACATCTCTTCCAATGCGGTACGTTTCATCGCAGTCTCAATTGTCTCGTGGCACCCGTAGTACCGATAGCTTGCTAAACAGAGATGCCGCAAACAGAAAATCGCTGGCTACCTGCCCAAGGATGATGGCGCCAAGGCCGCCTTCAAGGATGCCGATATCATCGTCATTCCCGCTGGTATCCCTCGTGAGTTACACTTGCGGAGCCTCGTCTGCGGCTTCTTTCTAACGGCAAATCCACTCTAGGCAAGCCTGGCATGACCCGCGACGATCTCTTCAACATCAATGCCGGTATCGTCAAGGGCCTCATCGAGGTTGCGGCCGAGGTCGCCCCCAAGGCCTTCATCCTTGTTATCTCCAACCCTGTCAACTCCACCGTCCCTATTTCCGCCGAGGTTCTGAAGGCCAAGGGTGTCTTCAACCCTCAGCGTCTGTTCGGTGTCACAACTCTCGACATTGTCAGAGCCGAGACCTTCGTTGCCGAGATCTCCGGCAAGTCCACCACCGAGCTCAATGTTCCCGTTATTGGCGGTCACTCCGGCGAGACCATTGTTCCCCTCTTCAGCAAGGTCAAGCCTTCAGTGTCCATCGCCGACGACAAGTACGATGCTCTCGTCAACCGTGTCCAGTTCGGTGGTGACGAGGTTGTCAAGGCCAAGGACGGCGCTGGTTCTGCCACTCTCTCCATGGCCTACGCTGGCTACAGGTAAGAAATCGGACGCTCGACAACTTAAAGGTCAGGGGCTGACGTGTGATAGATTCGCCGAGAAGGTCCTCAAGGCCCTTAAGGGCGAGAAGGGTCTTGTTGAGCCTAGCTACGTCTACCTCCCCGGCGTTCCCGGCGGCGAGGAGATTGCCAAGAAGACCGGCGTCGACTTCTTCTCCGTTCCCATCGAGCTTGGCGTAAGTTGCACAGCATCCCATCCTGTCCCCTGTCCAAATCTAAACGGATCCAACACTGACATATTCGTAGCCCAACGGTGCTGAGAAGGCCATCGACATTCTTGGCGACATCACAGAGAAGGAGCAGAAGCTTCTGGAGGCTGCGGTTGCAGGATTGAAGGGCAACATTCAGAAGGGTGTCGAGTTCGCCCACAAGGCTCCCCAAAAGTGATTCCCCCCTTTGTACACTTGTTTCCAGTAACAGCCCCCGACCCCCTCTCGAGGAAGCCGCATGACAACAGCTTCCAACAATGTAGCCAAAAAAATGGTGATAGATGAAATACAACCGAGGGAGAATTATGGCTGATCGACTCTTCTTTTTCCTAGGCTGTGAGGTGTTATTGGTCTCGCAAGTGTATGGTTGACCAGCGTATATAACACCAGCTGGGATTCTCTTGAGTCCGCGTACGTAGGGCAACGGCGTCGGTAGTTTTGGATATGGCGATAATTGCTGCTGGTTTATAATTGGAGTAAGACACCTTGGGCATCAACTCGAATGACCAGATCTTTGGTCGATACTCTGCAAAAAGTCTAAACTCTTTCAACGCTTGCATGCTGTGTCATTGACACTTCTCTATGGTTTCCCCACGCGCCATTTGTTTGGGACAGGGGCTTCTTGATACGTGAAGTTGGGTATTATGTGCTTGACGGCAGGGTCTTGATTTGGAAAATAGCTGCCGGTAGCTCGTTGGTCTCGGCTTGGACGGTTGCGTTGATACCTAATGCCGCTAGCGCTCCGCGCACAATCCCGCACGGGAACCAGAGGAACTGTAGCCAGACAAGTCAGCACCCTGTAGGTCGTCATATTGATAGATCGGCGTGGGTTTAGACGTACTGGCTGTGCCCGAACAACCGCCTGTCCGCCAGCTTCTGTACTCATTCTCGAGAACGGTTTGAACGAGTTGTCTGTCAGTACGTAAACGCCCTATTCCAACGGACTAGATCAGCCACCCAATTCCCAAGTCGCTCGTCTGGAGCGTCGCCCTTGACCAGGCCTTCCGATAGGTAGAGGGGATATCGCTGACGTACCCTGTGATTTGTCTTGAGGTTGTCAATCTGTTTTCTAAACACAAGCGACCAAAGATCCTTGCAGACAAACTTGATGACGTCGAGCGTATCGTTGAATCGTGGCCGGTCTCTCGAGAATCTGAACACCAAGTTCATAGACCGTCAGCTTCCAATCGTTGTAAAATCCCAATACTGTGTCTTCGTCCCCCCTTGCTATCGCCAAAGGCGGCACACAGAGGAAGAGGGAGGGAGGCACAAGAGGAAACGTACCTCTCAACAAGCCCCTGCCCAACACGATATCCCAGCGTCTCAAGCCGATAAAACACCGCATCCCGCTCCTCGTCCTCATCCAGCTTCCTGACTGTGCTCCCGCCCGCAGCCCCGTCCGCGCTCGACGGCGCAGCACCTCCGTCGGCCCCCCCGCCCTGACTGTGGCTCACCGTCGACAGCGCGTCAGCTGAAGCACCTCCTCCTGCAGCGGCAGCGCCCCCACCGGAACTATTCGCATCAGTCGGCGCGGCTTCGAGGTCTCTCGTCACGCGAAAGGCCATGGGCACGAGCTCGATGAGGAGGAAGTCGAGACAGGAGGAATTAAGGAAGGAGGCCGACGGGTCCGTGGCGTTGTACGGCGGCATGACGCTTTCGAAGGACATGGCTTCTTGCTGGCTGGGAAGCTAATTGTGGTATGGGCGTGGAAGAATAGTCGCTATGGTTCCTGGCTTCGTCGAGGAGGGTTTCGCGCGGTTATTGGCTCTCTCGAGTATGGTTCGTTTGTCTGTGTGGGGCTCGATTGTGATGAAAGCTTGGTGTTGATCCAAGGCAATGGAGACTAGGCAGCGAAGTTCGTAAGAGTCAGTTCGACGTGGAATCAGAGATGACGTTGATGCAATGGCGCTTGAAGGAAATCGCAGGAGTAGTTTTGGACACTGTTTCGTCGAGGCCAATGTGCGGTTCAAGGTAGGTCGCAGGTAGCTGGAGGCGGATGAACGATTGAAGCCGCTACCAAGGTAGGTAGGTACCTGAAAGAGCGAGGTCGGGTACGTACCTGATTTGACATGGAACGCCGTGGAGCTGGCCTCTAAGCTCTTCAGGGTCCACCCACCAGAGCTCCAATTCCGATTCGACAGGGATTACAGTAGATAACTTGCACGTTATGTTGGCACACGATCACGGACGGGTAATGATGGACGTAGACGAAGAGGAGAGTCCTCAGAGTGATTTCATCTCATTATACGGATGTGATATCCGTAGCGTAGTATTTGGTATTTGTATCCCTCGCTTTCCTAAGGTACCAAGCTGGCAAAGTTTCTGAGGCATCTACCTCACATCTAAGTAGAGCTTTGCTCAGACGCCTGCTATCGCCCTGATTCTTGCCTATGGCATAAGGCTGTTGGGGCTGTTGGAATATGTTTTGCCTCCTAAACGCCTGGACAGCTATCCATCCGTCCCTTTCCACGCCCAAAGAAAAAACACATACATGAGCCACAAATCCGCCTTCATTAGGTAGGGAAGTATGTACGTGCTGATTGAGGCGGCTAACCTCATGCTCCATATCTCGCAGCCCGTTGATAGAGATTGCCAGGATGGCCTCCTCAAAACATGCTGCTACTGTAACCATTGCTGTTGTAGTTACTCGATCCCGGCCCCTGTAGTTGCTGCCGCTTCGGAGGCGGTGCGGCTGGCTCATCATCGTCGGATAGGGTCAGGTCTATTGTCACCCTATCCGAATGCAGTCTCTTGGCGCTTGTTGTGGCCACGCCCCGCGGCATCGTCGAGCTTTCTCGAGACATCACCGTTGTCGTCGGAGTCGCCGTGCTGGCGACTGACCGGTTGGGAGTTTCAAAGTTTCGACTGCGAACTGGGTTGACCTCCACGATACCCCAGTCGTCGTCGTCGTCGTCATCATCGTCTTCGTCAACAAGGCCGCTTCCACCATTGGTCGGCCTGTTCTCGGCCTGTCCTGTGTTCACTCGCCACTGTCCGTCTGGTTCAATGGTGACTTGATCTAGGGACTTTGATGTGTTCGCTAGGATGTCTCTTACGTACCTTCGACGGATGTTAGCTAGAAATCGTGGGGGCGATTCATGGGACTTACTCGTCAACGGCCAGCTGTGCGTATGGCGCCGGTTTATTGCAAATCGGGCAAAGCCACTGAGGACCCTGCTCTTGCAATTGGAGGTACGACGTTGCGTCGAAACATTGGATGTGCGAACAGTTGACAGAGCGGCACGGGACATCAAGACGCATGTAGGATAGAGGACACTTGAGAGACAGGACTTGAGATGTCGTGACGATATCTGTATCCGCCGCTTTCTTGCTGACTGGAGGGTTTTAGTCTCTTGTTGATAATATTGGAGTAAATCGGCAAAACGTACTCTCCTCAATCACCTTGTTTTTGGGGATCTTCTGCCCCTTCTTGATGTTGTCGGCCAGGTCCTGCGCCGAGGTGATACGGCAGACGTTCAGGACAAGATAGAATTTCTGCAAACAAATTAAGTGTCAGCGGTAAAAGACGGAGCAGGGTATTGAGATTCGTAAATCTAAGGCAACCCACCTTTTGAGTCAACGCATAGGTGAACTCAACGAGATTTCTGTTGTCATTTTTCAGACGCAAATAACTCGTAATGTCGACTGGCCTTGTCGAGCCTGGCTTGTTCTTCAAGCCTCTGAGATTCGCCTTGACCTCGTTACCGTTGACCTTGATCTCCGACTGATGGGGAAACGCGATATCCTGGACGCCATTGCTATCTCCGGCGCAGAAGACCATGATGCGTAGTGACTTGTCATCGAGAACTCTGTTCAGATTGAGATTATCGCTGACTTTGACTGGAATCGAGACCATGTTCCTATGCTGGCTCATAGCTGATTGGGAAATTAGCAACGACCAAGATGAAACATGAAATGGCAACCTACCCTCGCACGAGCGCACATCGCCGACCCGGAACTGGATCTCGTAGAAGGGACTGTTCTTGAAAGAGAGCCCTGCATCAAAGTTAGGCGTTTGTTCAAAGGACTTTTGAGGGAATGACGTACCGCTTGATCCATACCCGGGCAGAGCAGGGCCATTCGCACCGCTGGGGCGGGCATTGCGCCCCCAGTATTGGTCTTGCCGCATCATTGACACTGGCGGAGTCGCTGTGGCGGGACGTCCACTCTTTTGAGAGGCGGGCGAAGCGGAGGAGCCGGTCCTTGTGGTCTCGATGCTTCGTTGGATTTGCTGGAAGCGAGTCGCGTCGCTGTTCTTGAAGGCTTCTTCGATAGCTGACGGGCAAAAGATGTTAGCCTTAGGTCGTTCTGAGAAGCAAACTTCGCTGCCTGGAGCAATGCTCAGACACGACAGCGCCCGTGAAACAGCTGGAGCCAGAGAAGGGGCGCAAAATGAGGTATCTCAGGCGGCCGAAAGGGCTCAAGAAGGAAAAGTACTCACCACTGACGATGCGACTTTGCAGAGCCGCCTTAACGCCGCTGCTAGTGAGCCCGTTGAGCTGACAAATTTGGGATAATTGGCGGTTCAGAAGCTGGTTGCTGTTCACCAGCTTGACCAGAGCCTGGAGCTCATGCCTCTGTATGGAGGTCATGGTTCTCGGGCGAGGTGAAAGGGTTGTGGTGGTGTCTTCGGTGACGGCCTCATGAAGGTTCGCAGGTGCGACGTCGGATCGACTTCGGTCGTTGGTACCTAGAGGCGCCGTCGACAGGCCGTGGGGGTAGGTGGCGGATACTTGTCTGCGTCAAAGTCGTCGGTCGAGGAATGGGTGGAAAGCAAAGAAGAGAAGGAGAACGACGGGCCTCAAGTGAAAATAACAGTCATGGGCGCGACCACACGAGGCAGGAGCGACGAGGCTCGTGGTGCGCGCCGACAGGCAAGAGCCAAAAGTGCGTGGGGAAGTTGCAGTCGGGTCGGTCGAGGAAGGCAAGGGCAGGGTAGGTAGCTCCCGTCCCGTACTGCTCGGTGGGTTGGTGGTGGTGGTGGCGGCTCTGCTGCTGCGCTGCCCTTCCCGTCTTTTTTTTTCCTTCTTCACTCTCGGCTTTGCGATAATGGAGACAGGCAGAGGGATATACCGATGTTCCCAAATGCGACAACGATAGCAGGTAACGACCCTGATGTGTGCGAAATTGTTTGTGCGCTTACCCACCGATACGAACTCTATTGCATCGAGCAGTAATATGAATATGATATCGACGCCCAAGGTAAGAGCAACGGCATTAGTCCAGCGTACGGATGAAGTGAGGTCAAACTAGGCTAGGGGCCATTTCTTGAGTCAGCAAAGGTTTGATGTCATCCGCGACTATCGGCCTTTGGGGGCTCTGTGAAGACGGGTGTTACTGAACGGGTAGGAGCCCACCACAGCTGAATACCTTGCGACTACAGCAGCAATCAAGCCGTATTCTGGATGTGGGCCTGAATTAAAGCAAGTGAAGCGTGAAGGTGAGTTATCCAAGGGAAGTGATGAGGTGAGATTCACAATTAGTGAGACTCGATGATGGTGTGGACACTGGCCGGGAAGTGTGTAGGCAGGAAATGGCGGCTCTGTGTGGTCTTTCTTAGGGGAGAGTAGGAAGTTGAACGTCCCCGTCGGGCAGGTGAAAGCCTGAACCGATGACTCTCTAGTGGGCAGTCCGCCGTTGTTTCAGCATCTGTGTCCCCTAAGAAGCAGACAACGCATTTGAGAAACCAAAATTCCTGGGTCATTGCCCGTCCCGTTCTGGAAACCACCGCCAGCCAGAGGCGCCTTCCAGGTGTTTGGAAGAATGTGGGGGTGTCAATAGCCGGCAGCCCCTGCGATGGCCGATTGACTGAGGTGAAGGTGGTCTAGCCCATGTGAGTGAGACGCCAGGATGGTTTTGCTGCCGTCCAAAGCGCTGCGGCCTGCATACCCTTCCTGACTGGACGACTGGATTGGCAGGCGGGGCACGGCTGCAACCACCTGTGTAAAATTTCCTATCATCACTCAGTGAAGACCGTTTGCTTTCACATGGTCACTCTCATCGACTTGAATACTCGACATTTCTCAGTAATCCGAGACATATCAAGGTTGTTCCTCACTCAGCCTGCTGTTAACTTCTTGCCTGTATAAACACAGCGAGACGTCTCCTCAAATCCTTCATAAACACTACACCGCCCGGTACATATCCGCAGCAATGGCCAAAAGCGCGAGAGCCAGCGTTATCAAGAAGAACAACCAGAGACTCAAGGCAAATGTCTTTGGTCCCGTTGAGCAGGCCAGAGCCGAGCGTCTCTCGGCGAAGCTGCTAGAATTGGCAAAGGCCCCCAAGCCTGAGAGGGAGGCAGACACCAAGATGGATGTTGAGGATGACGACGACGGTGAGTTCCCAGCCATTTTCCAAGGCAGTTCCATGAGGCAAAAAGTTTCGAAACTGACATTCCAAAAGCGGAAATCAACGGTGACGATGAGAAGAAGGAGGCCAAGGCGGATGACACCTGTAAGCTGAGCTCACTCGATAATTCCCGTCACAAAGACTGACTCTCGTCACAGCCATGGACGTTGACTCGGCGAAACCCAAGCGTCGCTCTGGAAGAATTCAGAAGCAAAGGAAGAAGACTTCCAAGGTCGTCTTCCCCAAGTACAGCGATCGTCGCGGAGGCTCCAAGGGCGGAGTTTCCAAGAGAAAGTAAAGGCTTGTTGTCCTTTCACTGGTTATTCCCCTCGCCTTTTGCAGCATCATGGGCGAAGAGTCGCGCTCGATCAAGAAAATCGTAGCGCGCTCACTCGGCGAGTCTCATGATGAGGAACTCATTCCTGGACATATCCAATTCCTTTTCCGGCGTTCTTGTGAATAGTGGGATACTAAAATTTTCATCGGTTATTTTGGGGGGTCATTTCACACTTTTCACCCCATTGAGAGAGTACATTGGAGACGCGGTCAAACAGTTGATAGACCGGTAGACATGGCGCTGGGCATGGCCAAATAGCTGCCAGACGAATAATGAAAAATCACTATCAACCTCCAGTTACTCTACGTTCAATACTATTTCAACGTACTTCATTCATTGATACTCAGTCCTGTGCCGGGTGAAGCGGAACAATATTACCTACTGGTCGTATCGGCCGGGGTTCTCTCTGCTCGGACTCCCCTACTATGTTCTCGACCAATCATCGTTCGGGCGCGACTCCCTCCAGTTCGGTGCATGTCATCCCTGTGCAAGAGCTGTTACAGTGTCCTCTCAGCTCCCGAGGTCCTGTTATGTCCATCATGCCTAGCGATGTACCAGGGTAATTATCTACCTGATTACTCCGTATTACCTCGATACCTTACCATCCCTACGGATACCTTGCGCATACTCTTTAGCTATTTGCTCCGCCTGCCGGACACTCGCTTTGCCCATTTGGGGTCTAAGCGACTGGATCCCGAGAACCTTGACGGAACTGCCACCGTTGCCTGCAGATTGGCAACTTCACCCGTCTTCCATCTCACCATGGTTTGCGCGCCTTTCATCCCTTGTCGCATCATGATCGAATAAGGCAGCTGCTTTCTGAACGCGATGACTCTATTCTCAAGCCATCAAACAACTCGACGACTTCAATAATATACTGAAAGTAAACGAGGCTTTCGTATTGCCATTCTGCGGCCAAAGGTCATCTTGATGGATACGCGACGACCATGTCTTTTCGGTACGGCCCGGGCTTCCTGGCAGCTCTTCTCACAATCGCCAACATCCTGATTCCACTGGCGGTTTTCACGTTTGCTACCGGTTTCTTTCCGTATAAGCCGGTTCTACCAGGTTTGGCTCAATATGAGGCCCTTGAATTTGGCCCGCCGCCACAGGCACCCTTCGACCGCCTCATTTTTATGGTCGTTGATGCGTTGCGAAGGTAAACGCGGCTCACAGTGCCCCCAGGTTTTTGACAATACTAACATCATCACAGCGACTTCGTATACTTGAATGGCACCGGCTTCACATACACTCAAGAGTACGCCGACGAGCACCCTACCGTCTCACTCTCACCGTGTTAACCATGTTATAGGCTCATCCGCGATGGTGCCGCCCTACCTTTCACGGCGTATGCGCGGTCACCAACCGTCACCATGCCCAGAATCAAAGCCATCACCACTGGCTCAATCCCGTCTTTCCTGGACGTCATCTTGAACCTGGACGAAGCAGATTCGTCCTCGACTCTCGCTGCTCAAGATACCTGGCTTGCCCAGATGAAAGCCAAGGAGACGGGGAAAATGCTCATGTACGGCGATGACACATGGCTGAAGCTCTTCCCGGGCACTTTTGACCGTGCCGATGGCACCGCGAGCTTCTTCGTAGCAGTGCGTCGTCTTCATGATCATCCCTTGCTGTCCCTTAACTGACTGGTCTAAGGACTTCACCGAAGTGGACAACAATGTCACCAGGCACATAGACAGCGAGCTGAAGAATGACGATTGGAGCACGTTAGTTCTCCACTACCTCGGGCTCGATCACATCGGGCATAAATCAGGACCGCGAAGGTAAGATTAGCTTTGGATCGCCTTCCGAATCTCCCTTGCTGACTATAGTTAGCTCACACATGGTACCCAAGCAACATGAGATGGACGGTATTGTGAAGCGTATATACAACGCCATGGAATCACGAGAACATATGGCTTCCACATTGATGGTTCTCTGCGGAGATCACGGTATGAACGATGCCGGCAATCATGGAGCTTCTTCTCCCGGAGAAACCTCTCCGGCGCTCGTTTTTATCTCTCCCAAACTAAAGGCTTTGCAACGGAACCTCCAAGCTCCTGTTCCATTTCGAGAGGACTTCTCCTACTACACCAAGATTGAGCAGTCAGACCTGGCACCCACCCTCGGTGCTCTGCTGGGCTTTCCGGTGCCGCAAAATAACCTTGGCGCCTTCATATCCGACTTCCTGCCTTTCTGGCCCGACAGTGAGTTTATGCAGGCTCCAGCTTCGGTTACGTAGTGGCTCACACTTGACAGGAAATGATCAGATCCAACTGCTCGTCCGCAATGCCCGGCAGATACTGAACATTGTGACAGTAACTTTTGGCTCCGAGATGTTTGACTTGGGGTCTACCTTTGATCAAAAAACGTGCTCAAATCCTCGGGATGATGCCCAGGAGCTAGCTTGTGAATGGCACCGCGTCAATGATGCACTCAAAACCATGGATGGCGAAGCCGAGTTAGATCCAACCTGGCGTGAAGCCATGTCAAAGGTACGTCAACACCCTGACCTCAGTGCATCAAACCATGAATCTGTGCTGACATCCAATAGTGGCTCAGCAGAGCGCAGGATCTGATGAGCAGCATGGCCAGCAACTACGACATGGGAAGGTTACATATCGGCGAAGCAGTTGTCGGCTTCGTTGCCAGTTCCCTGATATTCGGCGCTCGACTTAGTTTGATACCGCTACTGGCCATCTCAGTTACGTACGGCATCATGATGTTCGCGAGCAGCTACGTAGAAGAAGAACACCATTTCTGGTATTGGGCCACATCGGCCTGGCTGGGCTCCATGGGCATCAAAAAGATGCAGTCGTAAGTGCCAAGCATACTGTTAGCACTCACAATCACAAAGACTGACATGGGCTACAGCACCCGGTCGCCATCAGGAACACTAGCATCTCTTCTCATCGCCCTGATAGCAACTAGACTGATCCGGGGATGGAACCAGACAGGCCAGAAGCACGCCGGCGAGCCCGATATCGCTAAAACCTTCATCGTTACACGCCCTCCCATCCTTTGGGCCCTTGTCAGCGTAACCTATCTTTTCCTTTTTGTACAACTACTTAGAAAACTCCGCGGCCTTCCCCGCGCCGGCGTGACAGCTGCGTCGGCTCTTCTAGTCCTCTCCGCCTTCACGTTCAAGCTCGCCTTTACCAACGAAGACGCCCCGGAGCTCGTGACCGGGCCCCTAGCAACCCTCAACACCCTAACCCAGGGCATCTCCCTCGTCACCCGAGCCCGCCTCGTCTTCGCCGGCATCGGCGCCGCAGCCCTCTACTCATCCTACCTAGCCCTCTCCAACCCAAAGACCGAATCACGGCACACATCCCCCCTCCTCCACCACCTCATCACCCTCCTCCTCGCAACCCAATCCCGCGTCACAAACATCCCCCTCCTCCTCCTCTTCACCCTCCAACTACCTCTTCTCGCCTCTCTCGACCTCTCCCTGCCCCTCCTATCTACGACCTCCCTCCTCCTCCAGTACGCCTCCTTCTTCGCCTTTGGCGGCACAAACGCAATCTCCTCCGTCGATCTCTCGAGCGCCTACAACGGCGTGGGGGGCTTCGACGTCGTCGCCGTCGGCATCCTGACCTTTGTGAGCAACTGGGTCGGCCCCATCTACTGGGCGTCCGCAACGAACCTGCTCCTCCTGCAGTACCGCGGCCGCAGAGCCGGCAGCGACGAAGGCAGGTACGTGTTTTTGCGACACATAGGGCACACGACCTTGTTTACGGCGTGCAGCGTCGCGTTCGTCATGGTGGCGTGCGAGGCGCTGCGGACGCACCTGTTTGTCTGGACCGTATTTTCGCCAAAGTACCTGTACTGCATGGCCTGGGCCATTGGCCAGCATCTTCTCGTCAACGTCGTATTTGCTGGTTTGTTGTACCGTTTGGGATCGGCTTGATATACGAAGCATTCGCCACTATTCGCCAACTACCTACCGTAGGTAGTAGCAGGCTTGTAATACTAAGCAGAACGCGTTGAAAAGGATGAAAACAGCAAATACATTGTCAATCCTGCAAGGAGTTCATCATTACTAGTACATAGATCATAAATTCTTGTAGAGAAAACCGTTCCGCAATGCTCCCGGGATCCGGGGATAGGTATCCGTCAAGCCAAAAACATACCACCCGAATTGAAAGAACCCATCCCATTTGCCATGATACTCACTCACGCGCCCTCCTCATCCGAGAGCAGCTCGCTCACAATCGAGTCACCGTCATCCTGCCGCGTGTTCTGAATCACGGTATCATCGCTATTCTCGTCTTCCTCCTTAATATCAGGCTCCATCGTAATGGTCTTGTCCTCGTCGGCGTCGTGCAGCCTCGAGGACGCGACAGAACCGGCGACAGACGGCGCGACCGAGTCCGCACGCGACATGGCGACGGAGACGCTCCTGCTCATGCGGCGCGGCTCGCCGTCCTGCTGCTCGCCGAGATTGGCGACGATCTTGCCTAGGCTGACGTGGATCTTGTTGAGGGCGTTGCGGCCTGTGGTGTCGGTGACGAGTTTGTCGTTGACGGCAATGGCGATCTCGTCGTAAACCTCCCTGATCTTTTCTTCTGTGCTTGTGGGCGAGATGTAAAGCTTTCCGAGGAGGGGTGCGACCACCTTTTTCTCTTCCTCTGAGATTGTGGGTTAGCGCTGATGTTCTGAACATGAGTGGATGACAATGAAATAACCTACTGCTCAAGTTTCCGCCTAAGCGGTCCAGAATGTCTAGAGCGAATTCCAGATGAATATCACCATTAACAGTCTTCTTCTCCAAGTCGAGCCCAGTAGCAGGGTTGAAGCACTTGCGAGGATCAGTCCAGTCCACCAGGCAAGCACCAATCGTCGTCAGACTCTCCATCTCCTCATTGACATCGGCGTCATCGTCCTCCAAATTCTCACGGACGTTCAACAAGGCATGCAGGGCGTCCAGAGCGACGGTGCGCATGAGATCCTGGTTCTCCGCCCGCGAGTAGCAGAACACGGGCAGGAAATAGTTGAGAGCCTGCCTGACGCTCTGGTTGGATGCAGTGACAGGATCGAAGTATTGGACAACCAGCGTCTTGAGCATTTCCGCTGAAGCTTCCTGATCCGTGACAACACGGCCCAGAAGCAGCTTGGATACCGCCAAGGTAGCGGCAGCCTGGACCTCGGGGGATCTGATGCCCGACTTGAGCGCCTTGATGTAGATCTTGAGCAACGCTGGCGTTGAGCTCAATAGCTGAGCGCCATGGACGTTGAGGATATCAGTGAGAATTTGCAACGCGGTGATTTGTAGGGCAGTGTGGCCCTTGGTAAAGAAGTGCATGAACAGCGTCAGGTTCTCCTCGGCCAGTGACCTGTCGAGCAGGGAACAGAGACCCAAGCAGACGAGACCCCTCTCACGGACGGGTGCTTCGTGACTTCGCACAGCTGGGACGACGAGATTGTTAAGCATCGACACCAGGTGGTCGTTCTGCTGCAGGTCGCCAGCGACGTTTGATAACATGCACTGCACAATATGCAGACACTTCATGTTGATCATAATTTCCTTGACCGCCTTTGCCCTGGCCTCTTCTTCACTGAGCTCGGGACTCTTGTTCCGGCTCCCACTCCTCGTGGGGGTGGTGTCACCACTGACCTCGGATCTCGCCGAGTGAAAGCTGTCGTCGGTACGGTCATCAGGCGCTGGGTCGTCAACGATAGTATCATGAACGTCGGCAACAGCCTCCAATACCACTGAGCAGAACTCTTTCTCACCGGCGTTGTCCGGAGCACAAATGTCTCGGAGAACGTTGATCGTGAGTTTTGTTACATCGTCAGGGAGCTCGGGGACTGAGAGGGATTGGCGGAGGAGCGCAAACATCTTGCGACGGCCAACCTCATCGGAGTAGTCAAGAGTGATGGCAATGTGGAGCATCTGCTCGACAATGAACTCTTGCTCTACCGTGTCCTCTTCTTCATCTTCTTCGCTATCTGCCTGAGAGACCCTCTTGATAGCCTCAATCAGAACGCCGAGGTATCTTTCCAGATAGAATGCGAGCGTAGTCACTTCAGGCAGCTTCTCCTCGACCAGTGACTCGTACTTGCCATTGCCCTCGGTTCTGCAGAAGTCGTTGAAACTTCGAGCGGTAAAGACTGACTCTGCAGAGAGCGTCTCCCAAAAGTTCTTATCAAAGGTGACAGCTTCTCTGTAATCGGGTCTACCCTCCCAGAATCCCTTCATCGCTTCGAGGGCAACGCCATTTTCCACTCCAGAGTTCACGACGTCGATACGCTCTAGGAGCTCGTGAAGACCGTCGAAGTTTGGCGGTGCAGGTTCAGCGGGTGGCGCGCCCTCCTCAGGCGGCGGAACACCAGCGCAGTCCTCGATCCAGCGTTCACGGAACAGCCTGCCCGCCGATTTGCGGACATTCTCGTCTCTGTCGCGGAGACCCCATCTGAGGAGTTTCTCTCTCATTGAGAGAGAGAGATGTCGGAAGTCGCCGAGGGCGGGAAGCAGTCGCGAGTAGACCGCTCTGCGAGTCAAAGCATCCTGGTCTCTAGCGCGTTCGAGCAAGTATGGTAGGGTGGATGGGAGAATAGGGAGATTGACGAGAAGTGACCTTCTCACATCTGCGCTAGGATCGTTCTGTATGACCTCTAGCAGCTTCTCGAGAAGGCCGCTGGCCTCGTCGTCCTCGCTATCATCCTCATTCGCGGCGGCATCAACCTGATTGCCGGCCAAACGTCCCAGACCCAGAACCGCCTGTGCACGAACCATTGCCTCCTTGTCACGGATACGCTTAAGAAGACCATGGCGAAGTTTTTGGAAGAGATCGTCGTCGATGGCGTCGAGGGAGTTGATGATATGAGAGATCAACTGGGTGGATCGGTATCGCACAAACTTGTCCTTGGCCGTCATCAGGGGCAAAATTGTGCTCATGAGATAGCTGGTGAGTCTTGTGCTGGGGGTCTCGGGCATGATGCTAGCATCCTCGTCGACCTCTCCAAGAATCTCGTTGTCTTTGTCGTTGGCATGTCTAAGGAAGAATCCGACAAACCGAATGGTCTTCTCTCCAACACTCTCTGCCTTCTTGATAGGCATGACTCTTAGGACACATCGGACGAACTCGGAGTTGAAGGCTTCCTCATCGAAGTCGCTTGCTGCGGTCTTCTTCAGACTGGTCGGTTCGTATGCGCAAGCTTCCTGGATCTTGCGCAATGTGACAACCAACTTGCGGTGCGATGCTGTATTTCTTTGCGCATCGCGGAACACGGCGCATACTTGGCCGCGGAGCTCACTGTCCGGTCTTTCGGTCGGGATATCTGCGGCGACTGATGAGGAGCGGGATGCTGTTGATGCTCGGGAGCCAAGGGTCGCTGCTGAGGATTTGTGCGACACTGCCGCTGAGGTCCTCGTGGACCTTGTCGATACTCGTGCCGGCATAATGGGGTTTGTCGTCGTGTATTGTCGTTATATGGCGGCGGATTGGTCGAGACCGCGTGAAACTTCGGAAAAGTTGTCGTTGTTAATGAAGCCAAAAAATGATGTGTTTGTTGATTAGTCTCAAGGATGGATGACAGGCGCCCCGTTCGCGAATTAGCTGTCAACGCACACAATTACAGTGGGTGACTTACCCCCCGGCGCGTTTTTGTTTTTATCCAGTCTGCAACGGGCGAGTCAATAGACTTCCGGAACAGGTATAGCGCGGGGTCGGTCGACTTCATCCCCGCTTCCCGACTTCGAGTGCCCGCACGTGGTGATAAGCTTAGAAAAAAATCCTTATCGAAGAATTTGGCAGCAGCGAATTGCCAGCCATTTCCTGCGCAGAGAACGAAGCCTCTCCACAACCTACGGTAGTTGGGGTTTTCAACTTTAACTGATCCCGTTCTTTCTCTTGGGAAGCCGTTCGCAGAGATTTCTTTTTTTCCCGATTATTACTGTACAACATGTCGTCTCCCGGAAAGCCGCTTAAGCGGTCTCGAGCTGAGGAAGACGAGCACGATGCTCTCGTCGCAGCCGCCGTTGCAGAGAACATCGCCGCAGACGCTGTGTCGGAACCGAAAGCCAAGAAGGCCCGAACAGAAGCCAATCGCTCTCTTTTCGTTCGCTCCCTGCCTGCGACCGCCACCAGCGAATCGCTCACCGATTTCTTCTCCGAACATTTCCCTGTCAAGCATGCGACCGTTGTTCTCGACAAGGCGACCAAAGCTTCCCGAGGCTATGGCTTCGTTACATTGACAGATGCTGAAGATGCTACGGAGGCCAAGAAGAAGCTCAACAACATTCTCTGGGAGGGACGCCGCATCAAGGTCGATGTTGCCGAAGCTAGAACTCGTGACGCAAAGGAGAGTGCCGTTGGCGCGGCCGCATCTAGCGCAAAGCAAAAGCGTGCGGATGATCTTGAGGAAGCGAGGAAAGCCCCGAAGCTAATCATTCGCAACCTTCCTTGGTCTATCAAGTCTTCTGCGCAGCTGGGTGCGCTTTTCCGCGCCTATGGCATTGTCAAGTTCGCCGATCTTCCCCAGAACAAGGGCAAGCTCAAAGGATTTGGTTTCGTTACCCTTCGCGGCAGGAAAAATGCTGAGAAGGCTTTGGAGATGAACGGAAAGACCATTGACGGAAGAACCATTGCCGTTGATTGGGCTGTGGGCAAGGACGAATGGGAAAAGGCCAACGGCGCGAGGGAAGAGGAAAGAGATTCAAAGAAAAAGAACGAGGAGGGGGGGGAGGAGGAGGAGGAGGAAGATGCAGCCGAAGACGAGAATGCCAGCAAGGAGCTCACCGGAGCTGACGCAGATCTGGAAAACTTCATGAAGAACCATATCATGAACCTCGAGGACGAGGATGACGAGAATGAGGACGAAGACGAAGACGACGAGGATGATGAGGAGCTTTCCGACGGAGAGGAAGACAGCGAAGACGAGGAAGAGAAGAAGCCCGTCAAGAAAACGCAATCTACCGACAACACATCAACACTCTTCATTCGAAACCTGCCCTTTACCGTTACGGACGACCAATTAAAGGAGCACTTCGCTAAATTCGGTGCCGTCAGATATGCTCGCGTAGTGATGGATCGCGCAACTGACAGACCGGCGGGTACCGGGTTTGTCTGCTTCGTCAGCGAGGAAGACTCAAAAGCCTGCATCAAGGGCGCGCCGCGTACACAAGTCAACACCCTGCCCACAAAGCACTCTGTGTTGCAGGACGAGTCCGCAGACTCCGACGGCCGTTACACCTTGGAGGGCCGTTTGTTGCAGGTTGCTCAGGCAGTCAGCAAAGATGACGCCGAGCGCTTGGCCGCCGACGGCAGCGCCAAGAGACGTGAGAAGGACAAGCGTCGTCTTTTCCTGCTTAACGAGGGACAGCTCGATACTAGATCTGCCCTGTACCACAAGCTCACGCCTAACGAGGTAAAGATGAGAGAGGACAGCGCCAAGCAGCGCAAGAAGCTCGTTCAGAGCAACCCTTCGCTGCACATCAGTCTCACCCGTCTGGCTGTCCGCAACATCCCCCGCAACATCGGCGGCAAGGAGCTCAAGGAGTTGGCTCGCAAGGCCTGCGTCGAGTTCGCCACAGATGTCAAGGAGGGCAGACGTCAGCCCCTGTCCAAGGAGGAGAAGGTCAGAAGCGCAAAGGAGGACAAGGAGGCTGAGCACGACCGCAAGCTCAAACGCAAGGGTATCGTCCGCCAGGCCAAGATCGAGTTTGAGAGCCGCGAGGGCACCAAGGTCCCCGAGGCGAGCGGCGGCAAGTCCCGCGGATACGGTTTCATCGAGTACTCGTCACACCGCTGGGCGCTCATGGGCCTGCGCTTCCTCAACGGCTACCAGATGGAGAATGAGCACGGCAAGAAGCAGCGCCTGATTGTCGAGTTCGCTATCGAGAACGCCTCGGTTGTCGCTCGTCGCAAGGCCAATGAGAAGAACCTGGACCGCAACAAGCCCAACTCCCAGGCGGCTCCTCAGGCCGCGCAGAACGGGAAGAAGGGCGGCAAGTTCGACAAGACGGCCGGCGGCAAGGAGCTACCCAACATGGCTTCTATCAAGGACCAGAAGAAGGGCAAGAAGGGAAAGAAGGGAAACATGAACAAGGGACCCAGGGCGGAGAAGGAGGAGAACGGAGAAAAGTCTAGTGGTGACAAGACGCCCGCGAGCAAGGTTGACCGTGAAGATGTCAAGCCGCTGCTCATTGCGAGGAAGCGACTGATGAGGAAGAAGAAGGCTTCATCCCGAGGCTAGGGTATTCGATCAAAGGGCAGTTCTTGTGTGGGGAAGATAATTATGGGCGACTTGTTATTTGGATGTTTCATGCATCACAAAGGTTATTCAAAAGTATCGAAATTCAAATTTACACGGTAAATACTCTCTGCTTCATCGTGAACTTACATCTTTATGCTCATTCAGGTAAAATGACAAGTTGGCGTGATGTTGAAGTAGACTTCGTACGCACAAGTAGTACGCGCGGGTTCCTTATTAACAAATTGTCTATATACCTACACAGCAAAAACAAACCCCGGTTCCTTCCACACGCGCCTTTAAAAATAATGGACAGGTGTGATGTGAGTGTGACACCACCGCACGCAGTATTCCGAATGGCAAACTTTCTCTCTACCAGGAACGCCGATATGCAATGCTTGGCGGGAAAAAAACAATGATGACGCCTCCCTTCCAAAATCCCATTTGAATTCACAAACATCGGCGGCGATCCAAGTGCACTCTTGCCATTCCTCAAACCTCTTCTTCCGGATCTGTACCGCCGTCCCTCCTCTTCTTCTTTACCCTGAAAAAGTCGCCCAGCGTATCACTTAGGCTCCGCTGCCTTCCAGTGACTTGTTCACGAGAGGCGCCCTCGCCCGCCGTGCGACTGCGCTCCGCGATGCCACCGTCCTGATCTTCCCCTCTGCTTACTAGATTTTGCCTCTCGGCGTCGACATCTGCGCCCTCGCTATTGTCTTCGGGCATGAAGAGGCTCGCTCTGATGCTGGAACGCAGCCGACGCACCGACGGCCTACGCAGGAGCGGACTCTCTGCGTTCCTGAGAAGAGTGTCCTTGACGACGGCACTCACGGTAGAGGAGAGAGGGGAGGGGGAGAAGAGGGGCCCTGGGTAGTTGTGGCTGTGAGGTCGGGGTGGTAGTGATGTGCGTGGTGTAACGGGTCTGTCTGTTGGGTTTGTAGGATATCTAGGTTGGATCTGGCCGTCGTAGTAAGGCGTTGTCGGCTCTGACGGGGAGAAGCCGAAGCCGGGGAAGGTATGGATAGACTCGTCTGATATGGTCCTGACGCCTGGCGGGGGAAGGATTTCTTCTGTCGCCGAGTTGCTCCAGGGGTTGGCTAATAGCGGTTCTGACTCGGCGCCCGTAATGTTTCCCGCTGAAGCCGCTGTAGGAACGCGAAGGGTTGGAATGCCGGAGTCACGCTGTAAACTGAACGGCTTTGACCCGTTGTTTACGTTGTTCCCGTTTGAGGCTCGAGACGACCGGCGTGAGATTGACGAGGGAATGGAGGTGGAAGAAGGTGCGAGCGGTTGTGTCGGACTGTAGCCGTCTTGCTCAGCCAGGCCAATGGTCTCCTCCACGCCATCCACATCAGACATGCCATCATCCATGTCTTCCTCAACTCTACCACTAGTAATGAGGAAGACGCCAAAGAAGGTAAGCAGGCAGCCTCCAACGAATTTCCCAGCTTGCTCAGCTGAGGTTCTCTCAAAGTCGCGGTAGAGCACGGCGCTGCCAATGATGACGCTGAGAGTGAAGAGAACGAACTGGATGGGGATGACTTGGGTCGAGCTGAATCTCTGAAGTGACTTGTTGACGTAGCGCACCTGCATCACTGCCGTGAAGAGTAGGATGAAGATCAGTGCCCATGCGACGGGGGTCTTGAATGCAGCCAGGAGAGTCGTTGATAATATTGAAGACAAGCCCTTGGTCGAAAGAGCCGTGAAGCCGCCTAAAAGAAACAAAGATTAGGATATCATCGTTCGTACGCCCGTCCAACGCGGGAAGTACATACCAAATAATCCCACCAGGCCCAGATCAATCAGTATAGTCCGGTGACCATACCTCGGGCTCGCCCACATTAGGATGACAATCAGCGAGATCGTTACCGCCAAGTATATTTCGAATGCCAAAGTCGTGATCGCGTCCCACACATCGTCGGGGTCGAGCTTTGTCTCCTCCTGCTTGGCACTCAAAACTACAACGACTACTCCCGCCACGGCGATGACGACACCACCAAAGTCGCGCCGCCTGAACTTCTCGTTGAATAGTATCGGCGCAATAATGCAGTTGGAAATCAGGGCGACGACGCCTAGGGGCGACACAATGGAAGCGGGCGCGAAGCCGTACGCCAAAAAGTTGCCCAGCTCGCCCAATGTAATCAGGATCTGACCCGCCCACCAGTACGGCGACTGGAGATATGTCGAAGGGGCCTTCTCCTCGTCGCCGGAGTAGTCGGAGCCAGCGGACTCTTCGGAACGGAACGATCTTCTCAGAGGCTCGGATTCGCCGGCATCGTGGTCCGTAATCTGCCCGTTCTCTGGTAAGTCTCCATCTGTATCTCCTCCTCTTCCACCTCCGCCAACGGATCCATATGGCCCCGTCTGGCCTCCACTCGGCGCATGCTTGAGAGCCTCTTTCGCCCTACGTCGGACCCGGATGCGTTCACGGTGAAGTCGAAGGTGGGCGTATCGCTGGACGTTGAGGGCGAGTGCGATAAGGACGTTGCCGACGATGGCGGTGATGATGCCGATGAGGGAAGACCAATTCTGCAGGTCCTTTCCATCGTCGCCCGGTCGTGCCGCTGGCTCGGCAGCGATGACCGCATCGGCGACCGTCATGACGACTCGCTGGGTCGTGTATGTCGAGGCGAGGTTGAGTGGCACAATATTGTATCGCGGTCGGTCGGATCACAAGCTAATTTTTCGAAGCAGCTGGGGGTTTTTGGTACTAGTTTGGCGCAGACTGGAGATAATGACGACGGCGCGGATTGAGTCGCCTGTCATCCAAGCGCGACGGATGGTTGGACACGGCCAAGACGCAATATCATCTGGACGGCGCAAATAATGAGGGGGAATAGGGACCTCAAGCTCTGCGGGAAAGCAAATCGTCGGAGCCGGCCATGAGGATTTGCGTCAAGAATAGGATTTTAAGGCAATTGTCGTAATGTTGGAAGGATAAAAGATAGCTCATGGGAGGTAGGCAGTGAGAAGGTACTTAGGTACGGGACTGGAATAAGATGGATCAATCAAGATTTTAGTACAGGCGTTTAGCAGCCGCTACTCCGTACTCCCGTTCGATGAGGTGTGAGCCTGTGAGGTACTGCTACTTGGGTGACGCTCCTCCTGCCGCGACTTTCTCCTCTTCTGGGTCCGACACTCAGTTTCGACACATCGGTCGACAATACAGGCCCGACCCGACCCTGACGCGCGGGTCTGGGCATTTTGGGAGCATGAAAGTGAAAGCACGTTCCCACATTCAATCAGAGGGGCAATCAATTCCCCGGTCAAAGAGCCCCCAAAACTACGTTCCTCTCAAAGGAGGTCCCTGAAAGAATCAAAGACAGCGAGCATTGAAAGGTGGGGCCCGGATTGATTCTATTAAAATGTAAAGTGTGGCTCAGGCGACATGTGGGGGTTTCCAGGCTTTCAGCATTTGCTGCTCAATGCTGTCATTTCGTGGGCGGGAGAGAAAATTGCAGGCACATCAGTCGAAAGAGCTCCGAACAATAGTGATCTTGGCATGTGAGAGCAAAGTGTTCCAAGTATTTTGGTATCTCTAGGTTACCTTAGTCCCGTTCATTCCTTAGCAGCCACACCGAGCAAAGGGTACTAACTCTAGCCACAGCTTCAAGTGGGAGGGAGGTACGGATACCTTTTCTCAGGCACTCGCCGAGTCGCCAGAGACAGCGGCTCGCTTGGAACGTAACCGGCCGGGGCAACCGGGCCAAGCCTCGGGGTCCATCCGCGTATCCGCGTTCTTCTGAGCCGACGTATTCGTAGTTGTTATCGGGGCGCCTAGTGCCTCGTTTAAACGATTGACCAGTGCACCCTGGCCACTTACCAGAGTTCGCCATCACACGTGCCTGCCACTGCTGCCAGCCTGAGCTATGCCTCAGCCATGGACGGGCTGTGGCTTGCGCGTTGGACCCGGGCTTCTCCTCCCGCCGTGTGCCGTCACCATGCTCTCCACCAATCCCAGGTTGTTGGGAAATTGTCGGAACTTCAGAGTCTCCGACCTATCAACTGACTGCATACCTGCTTGCAGACCCCGCCGTTCCCCGATCGCCACTGCCGGGTGACCTGATCTTAAGTCGACAACGTCGTCATTTTCATCGACTGTTGTTCCGTCAATTGATTCCGCAAACAACATCCCATCTTCTCCTATGTAGGCCTCGCGCCTTTGACTGGCAACCGAAGGCAAACTCGCCAACTGTTTACGACCAACATTAGAATCCATTCAACAACGCGTCTCATCAACTGAGACGCAGACGCGCGAAAGTCATTGACTTATAGCCTCGAAACACACCCGACAATCCATCTCATCTTAACCATGTCGAACGGCAACTCTTCAGACAACGTCTTCGTCCGCTTTAAACAGAAAGTCGACGACCACGTTGCATCGGCCTTCCAGCGGTTCCTGGGCATTCCTTCGGCCGTATCACGTCTCAACAGCTCATGGCCGGAACCGCCTCTGCCATCCCGTGAAAAAGAGCTTGGGGACACAAGGCCACTCACCGACAACAACACCAACTTACAGCCCCGTGTGTCATCCACGCAGCACCCGCACCCCACCGTCTTTGACCTCTTCGGCCCCATGTCGTCCATCTCAGCCCTCTTCAAGGCCGAAGAGGTCACCGAGTCTCTGTACCAGCTCATGTGCTTCTCGTTCATCATCGATTCGCCCTATTCACCATTACGACTCCATGATATGCCGCAGCCTGTGCCTCGGGATCTTCCCAACGGGGAGGACCCGACCTTGTTCGGATTCGAGGATGCGTTTGAGGATCTGCTTATGGTGAGCAGCGGTCAGGATCTGCCGGATATTTACGAACGTGTCCGCTTCAAAAAGGAAGTTCGCGACTCATTCCCTCATGGTCTGCCCCCGATGCTTTGGCTTCACCAGCTCACTCGCCAAGGTCTGTGGGATGGATGGGAACCAAGGCCAGAGGTGTTGGACAGGGCCGTGAGTGAGCGTTGGCAACGGTGGTTGCAAGAGCAGAACGACCCATTCAAAGACCAAAGGACACAATCTTCCCGAAATGACTCGGCCCCGGAGGAGAGGCGGAGGTCTGTCACGGAAGAGAATCCGGCACAGGAGTCCTCAGTTCGCCCCCCACAGGACCACGGAGAGACGGAGGAGGATTCATATTTTTCAGTCATGGGGTCAGCTCGTCTGAACACCTCGCGAGAGACGTCCACATCAACGGCGCCGACCCCCAGAAACTACTCCTCGACGAAGGATCTCTCACCACAAGGTCTACCCCAAGGATGGCGCGTCGTCGAGAAGGTGCAAGAACGGGAGGACGGCAAGGGAAACGTATACATCACCAAGACTATCACGACTTACAACGAGAGTGGCGAGGAGGTTGGTAAGCAGACGGAGAGACAGTCCAACTACACTTGGTCGGCGAGCTTCTCGACCGGCGGCTACAAAAACAGGGGCCGTGACCAGCGAGAGGACGATGGTATTGAGGACAAGGGCAGCTGGTTCTGGAAATGAAGCTGGATATTTTGGGTCGTCTCTGTTTTCACATCATAGCTTGGGGAGTTTCATTAGGTTGTAACTGGGCTGGGAAACGAATGGAATTTGTAAGAAAACTCCGAACCAAGGATTTTATTTGTGTACAGTTCGGGCGAAAATTCAACTTTCTGGAAAGTCAAATCCAACGAGAACACATTGTGCGATGAACAAATCTCTTCTGATGTAACAAGACTCGCTACTCTGACTTGTATTACTTGGCAGCTGGAGATGTGTAGCCTTTCGAGGTCCATGGTCGAGGGCTTCAAGTCTTCTTTGACAATACATGGCATCTCAGCTTTGCTAGTTGCAGGATCAATATAATTAGGATCTAACATTCAAGTGAAATTACACTAAAGAACAGCCACAGTACAATGACAGGGCATACGTCTCATGGCCCAAACTTCGTTGGCAACCTCGGTGGACAGGGTAACTTGACATTCGAATTGGGTCTGTGATGTGTACTCAAGACGCTTATCAGGATCGCTATAAATACACCAAGTATCGACACCTGCAGACTCACACACAAACTATAACGGGACCAGAGTCACCACCTGGAATAAGCATTCTCAGCTAACCCATTCCATCACGATTGTTGCCCTTTTACAGGCGAGGTGAATACACTTCTAGCATCCTGTCTTTGCGAAAAGTACATAACCACAACTTGGTCCGGTATTGCTTATCATAGTCGACGCTGTTCGTCTCCAAGTGCTGCGCTTCACACAACTAATGCCGTACATCTGGACATCACCTAGCTTATTCTATTCGACCATATAGAAGGGTCACGGGACACTCATCAGTCACATTTCACCGGCTGTGGGCGTGGATGGGCCGTTCCAGCTCTATGAAAGCGACGCCGGCCCTCGACTGCTCCCGACAATGGCAACGTTATGAAAGCTTCAACATCTGTGGCCGCGTTGTGTAAACTACGCTCAGAGGTAGACAAAGTACCGGTGTTTATTGGCCTGCGCCTCCTTCAGAGGCTTATCATGAGAAGGTTCCCCATTCAAGGTTGACTATTGGTGCTTATCACATCTCACCCTTATAAAGCATTTCTTAACACAATCTCTTTGGAAGTATATACATAACCATCTGAGTACCTTGTTATTGAGGGGTGAAATTCTTTGAAATTTACAAGTACAAGAATATAGTTTTGATAAAACAGTATAGTGCCTACCTGCCACTTAACTTAATATACTTTTTTAAGCTTGCCATGAGAGAAGGATGACTGTACTGCTGACTGCTTCCCATCGTGTGCACAAGCATCAGAAGCTTCATATTCTGAATTAGTCTGTTTCTTGACAGTGCTTTGAACTCGGTCTGACATCGAGGAGGGCAAAACCTTCCCCAATGGATCAGTAGGTCCTCGCCCCTTTCCGGATACTCAGGGTTCATGCAGCTCGAGCGCTTTCTTCGAATCATCACGTCAGTACCCTGGTCAACCTTTACGCATGACTTAGTCTGGATGACGGAAAGAGTAACTAATTTTTCTAAAGATCGGTGTTTTATCTTGCCATTCCTTCTTGAGGGCGGACACCCAATCTTCGACACCATTCGTCCCCAGCCAGTCGTCCACATCTGGCCTCTCCTAACCCAAACAGCCGGCCCAAATACCAAAAGTCTCCTTAGCTCTCATGAAGGATTTTCTTTTTGTCACAGGGCACCGTCCTTGGCGTGATGGACCCAACGGAAATTCAAATCCTTCTAAAGTCAGACAGCCGATTAAGTTTTCGAAGAAAAATCTCGCGAAGAGATTCTCTCCACCCCTTTTCCGTCGTCTTCATGTTCGATATGTAAAGGGGGGCGGGGGGCGTTTATACTTCACGGAGGTTCTTATGCAGCTAATTCCCGTCTCTCCATTCTATCACGCCACACATTGGACCGAAACTTATCATAGGCGATTCGCAATGAGCAAGTTTCCTACATGGCTAGCAACGCAATCTAACAAACCACCGAACGCCTCACAAGCCTCTAGAACCCGAATCAACGGCACAAGTGGCACACCGAGCCTTCCCTCTAGACTCTAGCCACCTTAGCTCTCCATCGCTCCCTCGTTCCCGCGAAGCCAGCCGGTCCTCCCCGTGATGATCCGATGTTTACGGTTTACCTAGTCACCCAAAGTAAGGTAGGAAAAGATAATAAAGCCCTTCCCAACACACACACGCACACCAAAGGGAGGCAAAATGTACCTTGCACTATACAATGCAAGCTTGGGAAGCCGTTGCCAATAATCAGGTGTTCCGGTTCACCAAGTTCGGTTTCGCAGTTGAGGGTGTCGTGCGCAAGAATATTTCGTCATTTCCACACTAAAGTAGTTTCCAGCAAAGGAGACCAAGACTACTGTAGGTAAGTAATGAACACCATCGCCAACCCAACTAACAAAAACCCTCGGAGAATCGGAAGGGAAACAAAACCAAGGCGGACGGACGGGGGAGAAGGAGCCGGCGTCAAACTGTCAACCGGTTGATTCTAATCTCTTCTCTCCCTCCTCCAGAGGAGTCCAAGACTCCCAGACCACATACCCTACTAGTAAGCCAACGCTCGGCATTAGCGTGTTTTCCTGTTTCTCCACGAGCGGCCCCCAAAGCACCGCAGACGTAAGTTGAAGCGGTCTAAACCAAAGTCAGATAGTTCAAGAAATGTCCCTCAGGGGGTGGACTGCGGCACACGATCAATCAATGCCCTCTCGCTCTCCAAAGAAGATCCACGAAGGAAGCTCATGCATCTATCTCGGCTTCTTCGCGGCGCAAGAAAACCTCGGTGGGATGCTGCGGACGCAGCATGTGAAGCCACGGCCTAGTTTTCAAGTCCTGCTAGATGTAGCTAAATTTCTCTGGTCATGAAACAGCCCAAATATCGAGCAGGATCGTCACAAAGTCCCCATCACTCGGCACCACTTTGCCCCCTTCATCGAGACGCCATTGGCGTTGCCTCAGAGTAAGACATTCCCATGGAGCTATCTCGGGGACAGCTCCGATGGAATCCCTGAAGAAGAAGAACGCGGGTTGCGATATCCGTACGGAGTACCTACCACCGAACCAGTACCACGACTCAAAAGCACGCGGAACAGGCGAATAGACACAGCCTACTTGACAGCTATCCGTGGACCCGCGGTCTACTTTGACTTTGGTCCAGCAGCTTTTTAGGCTGTTAGTTGCAGGGTGGCGCGGCGGGCTCGCGTTAGTCACGAGGCTACGGGTACCTTAACAAAGCCCAACAGTCGTCGTTGAGACGTGAGGGGGGGCCACAGACCGAAAGTCACATTATGCGGGAAATTCCCTCTCAAGTCGTCTCATAAGAGCTGTTCTAGCTCAGGCGGTTCTTCGGTCACGTCTCTCTCTCGTATCGTCAGACGCCCCTCAAGAAGAAGTGGCGGCGGGCAACAGAGAGCTTCAAGCTCCAGCAACTGCTAGTCTGCCTCGTGAGTTGTTGGTCGAACTGGCAAGGACCCGTTCAGCGGCGAGCAGCAGGGACCCCGTCCTGATGCCGACGACGAACCCCATCGACAAGATTGCGGGCCAATTTCCATCGCGATAAAAAGAGAACACGAAGATGCAATCCTGGACATGTCTGTCGATGGTGGCTTGCCCACTTAGAAAGGGCCCCTCACCCCCCGGCTTCTCCCGCATCCCAAGCCAATATCCTCCGAATTTGGGGCGGACGATCCATCGAATTTGGCCGAAACAGGTCGATCCTTCGCATGGGGGACGTGAAGGGGAGTAGAAGCCTGACGGGAAGACTGTTCCGCCCACGCCGCGCTCCAATAGTTTTCCTCGACCCCGGCGATGAATGCCGGCAGTTGCGCGAGCAAATACGGCACCAACATGCAAACACAACATTCTCTGTTCGGGTTCCCCATCAACGACACGACCGGCGTCGTCTTCATTGTCTGTGCGGGGGGCTCGAATCGTTCAGCCAGTCTGTCCGTCAGTCTGCCTGCGAGCGGGTTTTGGGCATCAAGCCGTCCCGAGACATACAATTCATCAAACACCAACGGGCCGGATGCGCACGGCCAGAGTTCGGGCTGTCAAGGGTGCCAGGGGGATCTCGTTGGTTGTATCCGACAAAGGCAGACCCCAAGCAAGTGTGATATCGAATGAGATCAGATATCAAGATGACCCTGCAGGCCATTGTCGACGTCGTCACCGCGTTTGTGTATATGCAGTACGTATATTCAAACGCTCTCGCATCAGATCTGCTCTGGGAACATCCATAGGCCAGCACAGGGAATAACGTTGGTGGCGTCAGGTCCAGATCGGGCGGTTTATCACCGCCCGGGATATCAGACACAATGGGGAAGTATCATGAGAGCAGAAAGTGAGACCAGAGAGATAAGAATAGCCGCCGCTGGTTCGACCAGCGTCAGACGTTCAACCTCATGGTCTAGCCTTGGCTGACGACTGACGTGGTGTTGCCCAAGTATTCGTAGAGGACTGCTACTCTAGGGCAAGGATCGACAGACCCGAGTCTGAGCGCCGGCGGAGAAAACTTTTCTCTCCATCCCACAACTACCTCCTTCATCTTTTCTGCTGATCACTACCGTCCGAGCGTTAGCGGACAAAGTTTGACAGGACTGCCTCTGGGAACGTTACGCGCTGGTTTGTAGGAGATTGACAAAGAACCTCTGGGTTGTGCCTAGCTCGTCGATGGACCATCCGAAGGTGGGCGTCCGAAAGCCATATGCCGCTCCCGGGATCGACGGCTTTGGGGGCCGGAGGATGCCCGGGTCGTTTGGAGCATCGATGAGCCGGATCCTCTCTGACGGACGGGGCGATAACCTTGGTTTGCTGTCGCATCGCTTACACGCTGCGTCGGCGATGTCCCCATCATCTGCACTCGATAACTCGGTATATATGCCGTCTGTATAAGAAGAGGCTGGTATGCGTCGACGTGATGAAACTCCAGCGTGACAGATGAACAGTGTCGGAAACTGCGAGAGACGGACGAGAAAGCGATAGGAAAAGCGCTATAATAGAAAAACTGCTATTGCAGATATGGACTGCTAGAAGCACGGGCAGAACTCTGGGTCCAAGCAACGCGGAGTTTGACAGGGAACATCATTCGATCCGCGATACCACTTCAACGGTCGCCTGTTTCTGGAGAGGGATTGCTTGCCGACAAGGCCTCACGGCGCTCAACTAGGCAGAGCAGATGAAACGACGGTCCATTTCTGGAAAGCTGGGCCGCTTGCCATCCAGTGGCAGCATGGCCCGAGTCTGGCTTTCCATTGTGTTCAAGACTCCAAAGCGACAGACTGGATGCAGCCGGACACATCAACACCGGGACTGCAGACGGCACATGAGGAGCCGGCGCCGGTCTGGATAAGCTATCGGGATCTCCCCTGCTCGGGGCGCGGTCGTAATGCGGTTGAAACTCTCGATCGATGACACGATTGCCTTGAAGAATCCTCGCCGTAGTGTTAGTGTAGCACCTCCAGTCTTTGCAATAAGATCGACCGTATTTCTAACACAGCGGTCAGAGGAAAATTAGTCACGTTTGGGTAATCCGCGGACGGCACTGATGAGCCATGGGTGTTGAGAAGTGAGCTGGTGATTGTGGCGTGATGTTGGAAGCATGTTGGGACTTGGGAAGATTGGGGTTACGAGACGACCAGTCGAGAGTCCAAGCTTCTCTGCCAGAATTGACAGCTACCTAATCCAGAGCAGTGAACGCGAACCCGTCTCACCAGCATCTCCCCAGATGGAAGTAGAAGAGAAGTGTGACACTCGGTTCACCTGTTGGTGGTTTGTGCCTGAAGCTGAAAAGGCCCAAGTTTGGTGTAATGATATGTATCCGTACAGAGTATTGTACGATGATTGCTGCCTCGACCTAGAGACTTCGTCCACACTGTGGGATGGGTGTCCTCTGGCCCAACAGAATTGCTGAGGATTGGGTTATTGTATCTCACGGCGATTGCCAGTGGTGATACAGGTATGGAGTAGGTAGAGACTGGCATTTTGGCAATATGCTCATGCATGCACGGCGTAGCGTAGGCCGCGAAAACAGGCCATCTGGCCTTCTCTTGGGCTTCCATGTAAGCTTCGCGGGACCTTGCAGACTCGCAAGGCCGATCAGCACTTCTTTGAGGGCATCGGCAGCACGCAGCTAGCAGTTGCACCGTCACACCGACTGACGAATCTGTCGTTAGCTTATGCTGCTGCAACGATGTGCTCGATACCTAGCTGTGGCACAGTGCATGGTCATGTATCCCAGCGAGTCCTCCAGGGTACGCGGGGGTTAGGACTGAAGCGGCGGCCATTGATCGGCGGTCCTCAGCAGAGTCTCAGTCGAGATACACCATATACCGTGCGATTGCAGCCTTCGCAAACTGAAGAAAGGGAAGAGACTAGCTGGCCCTCGTCGTGAGCCGCAGCTTCTGTGATCCTCCAATTCAGCCGTTCACTACTCGTGGATACAGACATCAGGGAAGATAATAATTGCGTGAAGCTGCGGCTATTTGCAACCAACGCGACGCTGCCTTGGGGCTGATCGACGGAATACCAACACCAATCCTGAGTCTAGAAGAAAGAAGGAAATGATGTCGTTCCTCTCCCGGAATATAGGCGCGTCGTCGAGAAACCGACAATCGAGCCCTTGGAGATCGGTCCCTTGAACGACGACTTTGAAGACCATGCTGCAGGCATGTGTTCCCCGGGATTCCCATCCTTCTCCGCATTCAAGGCCATAGTTAGGGCAGCCTATTCCAGATTTTGTTCTACGTGCAGCGACGGCACAAGCAATATTGATATGTGTCTGCCTTTTGGCTGACCTTTTCTTCGTTGCGTCCGAGGTCTGGAACTAGAGCCTCGGCCGGATGACTGAGGTCGGTTGTTTCCCCTTCTCGTACCTTAGTTGGCAATTGCCACCTCAGTGTTCCTTCAAGATACGGTTAATTGTGTTCTTCATTTCTATGCCTTGTCCCGCGTCCTTCGGACCGATCATGCAGTCTGACAGGAGTGGTTGATCGTTGTGGAACCTGTGCGGACATGCGTTGCGTTGAGCGGCGCGTCTGCGGATAGACTTGCTGACGGTAGCTCGCGAATGACGGCGTCGGAATTGGCCGTCCTAGCCGACCTGCCCGGCCACGAATCTTGAGAGGAGAAATGCACGAATGCGGCAAAGTCCAACAACGTCCCAGGGTTCGCGTTCTGGAAATGACGGCGTTGCAACCGCCAAGGTTCAACCCGCGATACAGCTAGCTACAGCCTACAGATGAGTTGACAATAGCTGAGTCGTAAGCATGACTTTTCGTCCCTCATATCCTCGGCCGAGGCTGCAAGTCAGCTAGCTAGCTATCCGTAAGCTGCATTGTAAACCTAGTTGCTGTCATGTGTGGTTTGATGAAGAACAGCCCCCGGTGTTCTGGCATCCAACTGGCCCGAGACACGACCCTCCAACACGATGTATCCAATTTCCCGGCCGCAGGGTAATAGCTCTTGGATGTCCTGCAAAGCAGCATGCGGAAGGATCAGCATAGAGAGAGAAATGGCTGGTGATGGCGTGGGACCAACAACAATGACCAAGATGAGCGAATAGCATCGAGGTGGCGGCAGGTTGGTCAAGACGCCAACGAGAGATGCTCATATCGGTTAGAGGGGAACGAACAGACACACCAGAGGTCCACTGCCATGAAGAGCTACCCGTGCGAACAATGGCTGATCTCGCTGTAGTTCAGGTATTTGCTGATGAGGCTAGTGGTGCCCATCATTCTTTATCGAATTGAGTCAGTAGGATGGGTAAGGTACATTGAATACTCAGAGTTGTCTATTGAGCGTGCTCGAGGCGCGACAAGGCGAGAGTTGACTGGTCCATTTCCCAGTCTTGCCAATTGCAATAAGCCTGTATTCGCTTGACTCTCGCTAAAGTAACCTTTTGGTCCGCCTTGTGGCCTTAACAAGACGTCACAAACCTTATTGTTTCCATTTCTATATCAGACCCCAGGCGGGACGATGAACTATGGTGACATAGGTTGCCACAAGAAACACAAACAATGTAGCGAAGTGTTGCGTCAAGTAGAGAGTGGGCAGAAGAAACACCACCAGCACGAGGAACAATTGAGAGATTCCCAACCATATCCGTACTGTACACGAGTGCCTTGATAGTGGTATTCTGCTGCCACTGGCTGGTTAGCGCAACCTACCGTGCGTTCGGTTGAGCAAGGTTGCCAAAAAAGACAAGACAGGCACACAGGCTGGTGCTGGAGGGGCGGGAGAGAGCGCCGTCTACGTAGTAGTGTACTGCAGAACATCCTTGACGTCCAACCGTTGCAACGTTGACATGGACCGGCTTCATAGTCCCCGTTTCTTGCGAAGCGGCCTTGCCCACAGTGCATTGAATTCCATAGTACCCGCCCACCCTTCTTCCGCCTGTCGCCCCAATCGAAGGGTCTGACGTTCGAGCCAATGGTGGCCTGCAGTAGTATTTGGTGATATAGATGCCGGACTTGGCTCGAGGAAAAGGATCGCTTGTGAGAAGAGAACCAGGGAGCTGTCTGACAGGCACAGACACATGCGCAAGCACAGGGTTGGCGGGCTCCAACGTCGGGGAGCTTTCCATAGGAACCTTGGCCCGCCAGAAGGATGAGGATGAGGAGCATGCCGTTGCATTTGTTCTGGGGTAAACGGACCTGTTTCCCTTCTGATTCGGGTAAATCGTCCCGCCTTAGGTCCAAGGTTCTACGTGGAATAGTACGCAGCTATAGCCTTGACAACCAAAGTTAAGTTGACAATGAGAGTGCTGTGAAGTCAGACAAGTTGTGTGTGTGTGTGTCGAGAAGCTTAAGATGTCGAATTGCGCTCAGCAACCAAGGCTCGCTCTCGGTATCTCGCCTGCTTAACAATTGTCCGCCCGCCCGCCCGCCCGTCGACCATTGGGGCTTTGAAGACAAGGCTCGGGAAGTTCTCTGACTCTGCAGTTCTGATTAGTGAATATTACGCCGTAGTCCTGTGCCATCCCAGCTCTCAGGTTCCAACCTTGGGCCGAAGAAAAAGCAATGGCCTAGGCCTAGAACTCTGTGACCCAGAGATATCGCCGATTACCCCACCTCAGTTACGGCAACGCAAGCCAACCGCCGCCTGTGCCGCCTTGGGCTCGAGTCGAGTGTCAATACCGATGTAATTTGGACTCTGGAGGCATGACTTGGTGATCAAGGCTTGCTCATGGACTTGATGGAACATGCCACATTGATTGAGCGGACAACTCGCGAGTAAATGACCGGCCAGGTACTTTGATAATCTGCATGCAGCATGTACGAATAGAGAGGGCGAGAAAAAGCCCTAAAAGACTGACCGGCCTTGGGTTCGTCGTGCCACGAGTTGCAGACTTGCAGTTGCAGTTGCAGTCGCCAACCCAAGTTCCTTCCAGGTTCCATGTGTCTGTGGATTCTGGCTACCTCCACTTACTGAAGGTGGATTGAGCAGGCACGCAGGACCCCTGGATTCTGACTGGGTCGAGTGGATCGAGTCGTGGGGTTCAGGGCAGCACGCAGTTGCGACTTGTAGTTCGTCTCCATTCCCACATTTTGCCTGCGTGTGTTCTTCTTCCTGTTCCTGCCTTCCTTGTTTTGGGACGGTGAAAGTTCAACAATCACACTGTTGAGAGAACTACGTACTCCCTGAACAGTAAAGTAAGGGTTAAAATCGAGGTCGGAGGTGCTGCTGATGCTGCCGTCTGCGTACTTCCTGCAGCAACCCAGGTCTACCTAAGGTACACAGTACACTAAGGCAGGTGCAGGTGTGGATACTCGAGATACGCTAGGGCCAACTGGGACTCGTGGGAGAGAACGGCGTGGAGCGACGGTTACTCAACGGCGGAAGGAGTCAAGGACTCAAGGTGACTGAAGTTCAAAATGGCAGGCGCAAGATGCCAACCTACTCCCGTCAGACACTTGAGCTCCCGTCGTCAATACACGTACCTTTCTCAGGCACCTTGCCTTGTCTTACCTAAAACCAAGATACATAGGCAGGAATGGGCAAGGATATGCGATGAGTAAGGTAGGTAGGTACCTTTGGACATGCCTTCCTTCCTTGTGCCCTCTCTTTACCTTTGGATTCTGGCTGTGTCTCTACAGTGGGGACCCATTAGTGTCCATACAGCGCACAGTATCCCGCAAGATCAGGGATTTTCAACAGTAAAAACAAGCATTAACCATAACAATAAAATAAAAATAAAAACATAATATAATATATTAAGTAATGATTTATCATATTATAAAGTTATATTAGGTTTTATCTTAAATTCGCTATGTTATTAAACCTTCTCTAAAATATGATAAGATAAATCTTACTTATAGTAGATTATAGGGCGTTAAGAGTGCGAATAATACTGTGTTTATTAGTACATTTTAAAAATATTCGGGTACTAGTTTTTCAACTACTAATTAAGTAATAGAGAAAATTACTAAAATTTTATAAAAATAATCTTTATATTATTTTAATAGTAAAATATTTTTTAGAATTTTCTGAGCTATAATTATCACTTAAATAGTAGAGATATTACTTATATTAGTATAATAAAGTTAGTGGGTTTACGCTGACGCACTGGGAGGTGTATTGAAACTAATGGATCCTTACTGTACCTCACTGGTCTAGGTTCCCGTCCCGCCCCCTCCCCGCCTTGGACGTCTCCTTCCTACGCAACGGGTTTCGCTTTCCCGGACTGCCATGTTTCCCTTGTGTCCGTCTTCCTTCCGGAAACGACCACTTGAACCGACCAGTAAGAGTCATGGCCGCCGGAGCCAAAGCCGGAGCGGGAGGCCATAATCAGATTGCAAGCTGCCGATCCGATAGAGCTTGTGATATGCACCTACCTAATTAATTACTACAAGTTACCTACCCTACCTGCGTCTGAGTAAGGCACGAATGCCCCAATGTCAGGGAAGGTACGAGTAGGCAAGTACCTTACGAATAGAGAAATGGAGCATGAGAGAGGAAATTTGAGTAGGTGCAATAGACACGAGTGTTCATAGTTTCTCTCCCAGTGTGGCAGAGGGTTCATCTCATTACCAAATTCACGACTCCCGTTGTCCACTGCACTTTCTCCGCAAGTTCGTTCGAATACAGCAATCATGACACTAAGTAATCCCTTTTGTCCCGCCTGCATCCCCCGGTCAGTCGCCATTTGCTAAATTCATCACTTCGTCCCGGAAAGACATGCAATTTACCAGACAGCTGCCAGACAGGCTAGCCATGACTTACTATCCGACCGTCTGGAAAGCTTCATTTCGTTTCTTCAATTCGCCCGCCTTATCCGTCCATCACTTCACTCTGTCCGGCAAACCCAATGTCAATCAATTCCCCAATCAGAGCGACTCATTACAACCGCGCGACCAACCCACATAGCAACGTTCTGAATCAGTCTGCAGCAATTTCCATGCGACTCCCCAATCCGACCTTCACCTGGCCGTAATCTTCCCAGGAACCCAGAACACAGGATACGGCATACAGGATACGGCATACGGGATCCCAACAACCTAAGCACCCGCGTCTCTTGTCCCGAACTGAAGGTTCTCACTCGTCGACACATCCCCGGAGCCCTGGATTTCCTTCCCGTCCTCTCGGCCAACCCTGGTGCCTTCTCCAGCCCGCCGATACTACGTGGAATCCGACCGGGATCTTGTTCCTTTCCTCAACCCAAAAGAGAACACACCGCGTACGGTCATCTGCGGACTACTGCACATTGCGTCGCCCAGTTGCGTAAAGCAGCCAAGGTACGTAATAAGGGCCTGGCAAACTTTCTTTCTCACCGGCTCGACACTGAACAGTCGAAAGCCCTGTACTGCAGAACCTGGCAGTATCCGTACGCTGTACTGATGCAGAGAGCATTTCTCGTCTCTCGGGCTCCGCAGAAACTGGCTGCGAAAGTACTCCGTACCTACCACTAGTCCGGTCATCGCCAGTATCAGAAAGCCAGAACCCAATCGAAGCCACCACCATCACTCTGCGTCCCTAGGACCTTGCTTGCCATGCCTATTGGATAACCAGGCCGTACCTAGTCCGGTGCCCCTGCAGATGGCCTCGGCTTCGCTTGGCGGCCTACGGATTCACTATGCACGCAGTACCAGACAAGCCAAGCTCCCATGTGCGCTTGCTTTTGCTCTGCCGCACCGCTGCACCGTGCCGTCCCCATCATCCCTTCGCCTCGAAAATGGGACTGGCCTACGTCCGTACCTACGCAGCTCTGGATACGCTGTACTACTCCATAGTCGCCCTCGGTCCCGTGTTACGTACCCGCCTGCCGTGCTGCGAGACGCGATTTGAAAGCTGATCTGAATTGAGTTGCGGATTACGAAGCAGCATACGTACAGAGATCTACCCTGCGTATCTTGCGGCCATGGCCATGGATACCGTCACACTCACTGCTGGTCTGCCATACGAGCTGGAAAGACTTCTTTGAGCCACTAACACTACGTACACCATCCCCGGCCCCCGCCTGTCTGGTCAAGCCTGCAGCTTTGCTTCTCCATTACCTCTACCTTTGAGCGAATAGGCAGTCGTCCCGCCTCTGTGGGACAGTGGAAACAGAGAAGAAAAACGGCTCTGGCGCCGTTGTCTGTGCGTTGGGTGTATGCAACTCTGGTCCGCCTTTAGCTAACCCTCAACGAGGTGCCCAGCAAGGAAAAATGAGGGAAAGAAAAAGGCGCATTCTCGGATCACTGTCTTGGTAGCCAATGCCTGTCGAGAGTTCTGACGAGCTTTGAAATACCCGGTGCCCGCAATGGAGAGGACACGAGCAACATATGCAAAGGCGGACAGCATGGGGGGAAACAGAGGGTCTCAAAAGCTCGGCTTGTTCGCGACTCAGTCAATCAGTCCCTCTTTGAGTTCCTCACGCCCATGGGATACTCGACAGGCAGATAGACCCGGTCGGCGGACTCGGAAATACCTACTACGTAGGTTGCTGTTCTCACTACTCGAGCTGCGAAACCCCCCCTCTCTCTCTCTCTCAATTGCGCGAGGCTGTGGTCAACAAAGTCACTCATCTTGCGCAAGCCTGCGTGTTAGTGTACTCCATAATCTGAATATGACTCAGCAGTGTACCTGAGTGCTAGCTCATCCATAGGACCAAGACCAATGCTCAACTAGTCAGGTACCCAGGCGAGGATTCAGTACTCCAGGAGAGCATTGAGGCTTGATAACGCATTTCTCATGCTCTTGCACCGTGAATCGGTTTTTTTGCAAATTACGGTAACGCACAGCAGCTTCCCAATTCTTCGCCTTGGTCCCTCTACTCCGAAAACCTTTTGTCAATTCAAGCCAAGCCGAACCCCGCAGTCGTCATCTTTGGGTTCAACGCCTCAAAGATGACATCTTTCACAAAAGGACCTGTACGACCGACCTTACTATCTGGGAGAGATGGGTCTTGCGTGGAGCAAAAAACATGTGTGATAGGGAATAAGATCTGGAAATCAACATGGCAGACATGCACCAGCTCCGGGAACCCCGTGGAGCAAATGTGGCTGGGCAAGTTCAAGCCCCAGCTGCCAGCTGGACGTAGCCCTGAGCTTGCTTGCCCTGGACAAGGCTCGGCGTCGCCTTGCCTTGCCTTGCCTTGCCTTGCCCCAAGGTATCCGCACCCTGGCTGGTTTCTTCCGCCCACTGGCGTTTGGGCAACCTAGCTCGAACAGGGTCTGACGGGGAATTCCAGAACCGACCGACCGACAAATATCGACAGGGCAGAAGAGGCGTGAGAGAGCTTGTCAGTCGAGTTTGCCCTCTTGCGCCTTGCAGCGCCAATCAATCATGGATCTGGGACTAGGGTATCGGCCTTCGGGGGACTGGGAGTATGGCACGCGGGTCAAGAATGAGGTATACCCGTCCTCTCCCCTCGCGTCCACCCACTGACCGCACTGCCATAATGCCAACAACGGTCGTTGTCTCACGCTACGCAGAATGACTGGGCTGTCTCAGAGCCCCCGTTACCACCGCAGACCTAACGGTCAGGCCAACGTCGGTCTTGAAACTTGAGACACTCAGTTGTACGGCATTTACTATGAAGGCCGGGGGGCCAGCTCCGTTGTGAGCTTGACCGCTTCGTTTCTCATGCGCCGGTCGGCGCCCTGCATCTGCCCGATTTCCAACCGATTGACTACCACCTGGATGGCGGATGCCGGATGATGGTACACGGCAGCCCTCGGCAGCTCGCAACCTGCCCCAGGGATGGTCTCTCTTGCGCTGCTGCGCACGAAGAAGCAATACCGTACGGCCGGCAACCTACAAAGCCCACAATTGCGTGGTCCCTTGTTCACCATGTCCACTCCAGCGTCCATGGACCCAGACCTCCTCACTATTCTTGACACTGGGAAAGCCCTCTGGCGGGGACCATAGCCCTCTGGTAGTCGTCGATCATGATCTGTCACAATCTGGATCTAGCGCCGCTCGACGCGCTTTGAAAATCTTCAAACGCCTCATACAGACGAGTGTCCACGGACTAGCCACGTCAATGAGAAATAAGAAACTCAAACTTGGGCTACGGAGACGTCCCGCGGACCTCACCTGCTCCCAGATCTGACATCAACGATTTACTGCTATGTGGAGCGATTGCATGCATCTCACATCATCTCTGCATTGATACGAAATCAGCCTGGCAAGGAGCCATGCAGCAAGAAAAAGATGCTGTGTTACAGCCTACGGGGACGGTAGGTCGATTGACTGGATGAATCATCGGCAATCTGGCCAGAACTAGCAGCACCGTCGATTTCATCGTCTACTCAGTGTTGGCGAAGGACATATCGCCAGTCTATTGAGCTTCCCTAACGTAATGCAACGTTTTCATCCCATGAGCACTTACTGGCCAAAGCTCTCAACCTCATGTTCACCTCGAGTGCCAAAGTTCAGATGAAAGAGATCAACGACTTTGTTTTTGCCGAGGTAGGGATCTGAAGAGTGTCAGAGCTGCGTTCAGAGCATGGGTTGAAACAGCTGCTCGATGTAACTTCTATCCGTCCATCTCAACGCACGACTCAAGAACCTTATTGTGTGCTTGGGAGGCCAAAAATGTCTGGCCAGTTCGGATGAAACTGGTGAAATTTTCGACACGCCAGGGTTCGAATGGGTCATCGCCTACAGAGCATCTTGGGAGATAAACTCGATCAAGAATATTGAGTTCACTGGGCGGCTTCCCATAAGTGAAAAGTGCATGCACGGTCCGTGGAGTTTGCTCGTCGTTTTCGAGCTTCTGAGACTTGTCATAACAGGGGCGTTCTCGGGTGGAAAAGGCGGAATCTCGTTGGTAGAGAGATCGGCCTGTCATCAGCAATCTTACCACAAACATGCGAGCGGTTTGTACAAGCAACGCGTGAGAGACGGTTTGCCAGCTTTTGGCTAGGATTACCCTGTTCCGGCCAACCAGGCTGGTGGTTGTGCACAATCACGCAGAGACCTACACCTTGCGCGCGTACACACACGACAAGGTTCTTGTGGCTGATTCGAATAGTGCATAAGAGTTGGAAGCACAACATACCGAACAGACACTACACAAAATGTGTAAAGTATTGAGTCCCTCTCGGCCATTGAGCGTACCGCCATGGTCGGCACATCGTAGCTTCCGAGTCTTGTCGTGGCGACGGCGCCAACTTGGAGGCAAGATCGGTTCTAAGACCGTCTGCCATCGACCGCTAGCTTCAGGGGCAATCCTTTCAGCTTCGCGCCCAACGCACAGGTCCAAGATCGGTCCTGAAGAAAATAGGCCTCAGAAAAGGAGACGATAAGGGAAAGGAAGAAGCAAGTGTTTGCAGAAACGCGTCACGCTGGAAACGACAAAAAGAGTGACAATTCGAACAGCCCACTGAAAACTATGGAAGTCTTCCAGACTTCCGC